TTTTTTTTTGCGAAACTTGTTTAGTCATCATTTTCATGAACTGAGCAATAACAACTCCGTCTGGTTTTGGTTCCTCTTGATGATTCGCCGCTGCCAAGTGTTTTACAAGTTCTTTGGATTAGTTTTGCGTGTGAACCATAAACATTATTTGCCCATATGCCACCGGTATCTAGGCACTCAGCCCGGTCTAACTGCTCAACCAAGTGGTGGCAAGCATGTCTACTACCTACTTGCTCCGCCACCAGCTGTTGTTGTATCCAGTCCGCACCATTGTTCATCTACTTGCGAGTAGTCTGAAGGCCCAGCACCTCGGCAAATTAAGTGCACTTTCATATGAAAGCAAACGGAAAAATCAGAGCAAAAGTTGATGAGCCGCTAAGTTAGTCTCCACACGGCACTCTCTATGCTCTATGATCTCTCTATGTCTATATACATATATGCTATATATATATATATGTAAGTACTTGTGCTGTGCTTATGGGAACCCATAGTCAGCCAAGCTTCCAACTTGAATTGCTGCCCTGTGATCGCAATTATAACTGCGCTTTCTTGTCCATCATTTGTTGCAATTGTTGTTGTCATGTTCATACATATAAACTCTATTGTTTGTGTCATTTGTTTTGTGGAATATCTTTTTGATAATGCCCCCTCCCACTTCGGTTCTCTCTCTCCTCTTCGCAACCAAGACGCGACATTGTTTCACACACTTGTGGAGAAATGCTATTGCGAAATTAGCTGATGAGTGGCCGCTGACTAAGCTGTGAACCACTATCCACCCACACCAACAATCAACCACTCCACTGATAATGCACACCCAGAAAGAGTGCTCCAGTTAACAGTGCTCGACTGGCAGTTACCCTGCTTTTTGTTCTGCTTTTATCGTCGAGAGAAAAAGCCAATATATACGACAATTGATAGAGGTTACCCACAGCGAACCAAGTTTACCGATTGTGATGAGGCTTCTTCATCTTTATATAATAGTTGTATCAGTTTTTTGGATTCAATTGAAAATTTAAATTCAGCAAATGTGTTGAGTACAGGGTATTAATATCGTACGGGAGACAATGCCAAATTGCGATTATAACTTACATTGGCCACTAGAAAGCGTTGACATTAATCACCCAAAATGGGAAATTCACCTGGCATTGATTTTTTCCATTGTTCCGCGCCACGGGCCGATAAGCAATCGGCGTCAGTGATTAAAGTTAAATAAATAAATGCGAGTTGCTTGCACTGCGTGCTGTGGCCATTACTATTCCTATATATAGTAATACTAGGCCAACAAAAATTGTCTCGCATTGTTAGTCAGATTTATATATCAGCTGATAACACAGCAAAAATAAAATAAAAAAAAACGAACACGATCTGAATTTGCTGCTAATTACCTGTGTACACACATTTATCTCTCGTTAATCTTTAATCATACATATTATATATATATATATATATATATATATATATATATATATATATATATATATATATATATATATATAGATTTATATACGCAAATCATAAGATCTCGCACAGAGCATTTGAATGGCGCATTGTGTCTGGGCGGGCCTAAAACAGTGGCTCCTTTCACCTGGCCTCTCATCCATGCGAGGGGTGTTCAAACTTTTCAATTTAAATTATTTGATTCCCGACTTGGAAAGTTACTCAGCTTAGCTTAATCAGCTGAGAACTGCTAATGAACAGATAAGTACATGCTTATCTAACTATTCCTCAGCTGCTGAGTCTTGAGTCTTGAAAGTGACTTTGAAAACTTCGCTTGGTTAAAACTTAACTTTGTTGGTTGGCCGCTGTATTTGTGTTTCTTTTCTTTTTACAAGTAGTAGCATGGTGCTTTTTGGCACCGCTTTTGGACTTTATGAGTGCATCTCGTGCATTCACATTCACATTCACAATCACAATCACATTCACACACTCACACACCGCTTGAACACACTGCGCACATTCACACTGCTGGAAACATGCTCGTTGCATGCCTTTTGCTACACTTCATTATGTTTCTGAGTATGTTGTGTGTGTTAGTGTGAGTGTGTGTGTGTGTGTGTGTTAGTCTGAGTGTGTGTGTGTGTGTGTGTGTATTTTTCCGATACCCCCTTTTGCATAATGATATGTAATTTGGCCTTTCTTTTTATTTATTTATTTTTTGTTTACTTGCATATTTCTTGGCCGCCGTTGTTATTAATTTCTTTTTATATACCACATGGCAGAGTGTATTTATTTAAGTTAAAGTTGAACACATTCTTGAAGACATCGGAGACATATCCGATTCCGTCTGTCTCTTTCTATGCGAGCAAGAGTCGCCAGGGTATTTCATCTTGTCAATTCGTATTTCTTGTTAGATTTCAAACTCTTCTTTTTTTTCGTCCTCGTCTGATTGCAAATTATTATCGGAGACCACCAAAGGAACAGACGAGGCGAGTCGCCACACTCAAGTCTTGAGGGTGTGGGTGTGGCATCTCTCTCTCTCTCTCTCTCTTTCTCACACATGTTGCATGCATGCTGTGCTTAAATGTATTCCTTTTTTTGCTTCATCATCTTTTTCGATTTTCTCTCATAGCTCGCACAAAGTTTATATGGCATTTTATGCTAATTTATGTTGTGTTGGCCTCATATTTTTGCTGCTTTTGCGCATGCATTTCTTAACTCATTGTCATAATTGTCAGCGCCCCACGTCACCTACGCCTACACCTACCTATCTACCTACCTAAAGCCTACAAAGGTGGTTGGGAGGGGGGACTCTGAGTCTATTGTCGTTTGATTAAAATATACATAAATTCATGCGTTACATTTGCAGTGATTGTTGTTATTATTGTAATCATGTAGTTTCTATGCGCAACGCGTCTTGTTGGAATGACGAAGGATTTGTATACCCTGCACCCATTGGGAATGTGTAAATGGGGTAGTTTTGATCAGCATCAGAACCGGCTTTCATCGATATGTGTATCTTAGCTGGTAGTCGGGCATTAAGCATTACATATTTATTTTGTATGCATCAAATCATTTGCCTCTTTTTAATTAATATTTCAAATGTGTAGTGATGATGATTGTATAAGGATTGTCGACATCTAAAGAGCGCATCTATTCAAATATAAAGCGTATATTTGAATGAATGTGTGGATAACTTATTGAATACATAATGAATGACTATTCAAATGCCCCTTACATATTATATTCCTTGTGTGTTCGACTAGGCTGCCCGGAGAAGAAGCAGAATCGTTAAGCATTTAGTCCTTTGAATTCAATGACAAACAACAACAACAACAACAAAAAAACCAAATAATTTGCATGAATAACTCGAACTTGAACTTGAACTATGCCAGCGTGCATTTGAATAACAATTTTGTGAATGCGTTTGACGAATGAATGAATAATAATTACTTGCATTTGGTTGTTGTAACTCTTGCATAACTCTCATTTATCATCCGCTCTTTTCTATATCTATTTCTTGCAGTTTAGAATATATTTGTGAATATTGAATATATACGAACTTATATCTATATATTAAAACCTGATTAAGTGCTGATAAAATTGCTATGTATTTTAGCAGCAAACATTTGTCGTTGATTTCCATCAAGTTGAGCTAAATATATATATATATTTTCTTATTTTGTTTTCATTACCTGCTGTTTAAAGGTCTTAAATGTGTCTAGTAGACAAATAAATAGCAAGCGCTCAAATTCTCCCGTCTTCCCACACCACCCCACCCCTTTCACACCCTCGGAGACAGAAGCTGTGAGTTTTATGCCTGAGTGCGTTTACTTAGCTAGCCACCAAATGTGCGAGTTGTTGTTGTTGTTGTTGTAGTTGTTGTTGTTGTTGTAGTTGTTGTTGTGCGTCAGTCAACGTTGCCTTCATTACAGCTACAGGTGTGCCTGAGCAACAAGTACATGCATGATCAATGTGAATTCGAGTACGAATTCAGTTCAAGCTGTTGCTTTTGCCAGATCTATCTATATATATATAAATATATATATATATAAATATATATATATATAAATATATATATATATAAATATGCATATATCTGTATATATGTTTAAGTGTACTTATTTCTTCGCATATTTAATTTAATGTAAACTTTGCACGAACTGAGACGACAAATGCATTCATAGAAAAGCCAGCAGCAGCAGCAGCAGTGCAAAAATGTGGGAAAGCCAGTCTGAAACCAAACAAGAATGCTCCAGTGGGGATGGGGGGGGGGTGTGCTCGACTGAAGCGATATGCAGTCGCTTGTGCATAGCCTAGATAACTTTCATAATCAAGCATTTTTATTGTCATCGATCATTTTGTTGAATATTTCGTGGACTTTTATGCTAGATGACCCAACTAGATGATGTCATAAAATTCAATTGAAAGTTGTGCCAAATTATGCATGCGCAGGAAATGTTTTATTTTTTCTTGTACTCATGCCTACCTTTGTCACATTTGCACTAAGAATATAGAAATGTCGTCATAATATATACTTTTGTATATGCTAATTGGCTATTGATTTGTATATTTGAAATTTGAGTTCAACTTGAACTGTGTGTTTAGTCAACCAATTTTATAGTCTAGCTATAGATCGATGCTCATAGATTGTCTATCATTGAAGGTATATAAAAAAAAAAAGCAAAAATCTTACAAATATGAAATTTCAGCTGGAAACTCTTGTTTCATTGTTTTTGCAGTGAACGAAATGGAAATTCCTAAGTTAATTAGGCGCAAAAGTTAGCTGATTTCTGTTTCTGTTTCTGTTTTTCAATTCGATGACTAAGAATTTGTGTGTATGATAAAGTCGGACGGCTTCTGCATTGTGAAGAGCGATTGCATTGATAAGACAACGTCTGTTGCCACACACTCGTCGTAGCCGATAAGACTAAAACGTTCACGTGCCCCAACCTTCAAGCAACGACAACAGCAACAGCAACAGCAACAGCAACAATAACAAATATTCTGTTTTGACTACAAAATTATAATCCATAAATATATATATATAATGTGATATTTAGAGTTTCGAAACGGTGCAATGTTCCTCAGCGACTTACGCGTCGAGCATTTGAAAAGCAAATGTAACCAAAAAAATGCAAAGAAAATGTGTGAAAATGTGTGAAAATGTGAATTAACTATAATCAACGAACATTACTAACTAACAACAATAATAAATACAATATAAAAAAAAAAAAACAACTAAAAAACTGCACACAGTCGTGTGCTAAGCAAATACCAAAGAAAAAACGAGGAGGCGCCACCGACGAGGAGGAGGTGGAGGTGGAAGGAATGTTTGACGTGCCGCCCAAGTGTCCAGCGCTGGCTAACAAATTGAGCGGTCTATTTGGCTGGCGCCACACCTACAAAGTGGCCGCCAAGCATGAGGGCATACCACATGGCACCCTCCACAAATCCTACTCTCTGACGCTGCCCAAGCGACCCCCATCGCCGAGCTATGCTTGCGTGAAGGTAACTCTAACTCTCCCAACTCAACTCAACTCAACTCAATCTAAATTCAACTGAACTCTGTTATGGACATATCAAATGATATGTTGCGCCCACATATCGGACAACATATATACATATATATATATATATATATATATATATATATAGACACACACAGACGCCCACATATAGTATGCGTATGGAAAGGTTTATGATATACGACGATCCGCATTGTCAACGATCGCATCAATTCCCTTGTCAAACAACCATTAAGAAACAATCAAATACGAAATAAATAAATAAATAAATAAGCAAAACAAACAAATCTGCATCTGGGCAAATGTGTCAAAATTTAGTTTGCACAACCAAATCGATTGATCGATCTTTAAACGATTTGCATTGCTATTAAACAATGTCAAATTCAATTAACGACATTTTCTATATATACATGTATATATCGAATTTTACAGAGATACATTTATTCATTATTATATTATGTGTCTTGAACAATTTGTAACGGTTCGAACTTTCAAAATGTTGCAAACATCTGTCAATATCTGATGTAACTAAGAATGCTAAATGAATGTGAAGTATTTGGCAACTTTTTGAGACTGATTGAGATTTCGCAGACCGCTCTTCCAATCAGCAAAGGTTGTTCTTCGCTCTCACTCTCATTGCCATCGATAGAATGCTGCAATGCCGACCAGGCTCTTTGACCCATTGAACCAAGAACAACAGCAACAACAACAGCAATGTTTGTCTATTCTGTTTTTAATTTATTTTGTGCTGCGCTGCAAGGTGGCAATAATAAAAAAAAAAAGAAGAATAACTAAGCGAAAATTGAAAAATAACCTTCCCAAATTGTTGCGCCAAGTTGACGTTCCAATTCTCCAGTTCAGGGAGCGAAGCGCACGCTCCGCTGATTCCATGACTGGTTTCATGGCATGATGCAACTAACTGTTGTTGTTGGCCAGTTTTCGGCATTTGGCATTTGTGTTTGTATTTGGAATTCAATGGAATGCCAAGCAACAACGCCAACTTGATTCGTTTGCCTTTTTTTTATATTCGTTTCGTTTTGTTTCGTTTCGTTTTGTTTTGTTTTGTTTTGTTTTGGGCAGGCTGATGGTCGGTCGTCGTCTTTGCACCGGCGCTTAGTCATAGTCTCTAAATGGCTATCAACCCATAGATCTTATAGACAGAGTGGCATACCACCTGAGCTGAACTGCGCAAATGACTCAAAAGCAAAAGCAAATGCAAAAGCAAAACAAAGCAAAGCACATGGCCAATTGGGCAATTGCCTCTGACCCTCTCCTCCTCCATCACGGAAGCGCAACATGCCAGCTGCATTCTCCCAGGCTCGTTTTCGGCTTGTGCTCGGTATCTGTGTTGTTACCTTAAAAAAGAAAAACTTCCGCAACGAACATAGATGCATACATAGATACATACTTAGATACATATATATATATATATATATATAAAACAGTAACTCTGCAGACTTTGTCTCTGTTTGTAGTGGGTAGAGAAGGTGTGCAAGTCGATTGACAGATGCCCTTTTCATCGCGAATACATCATCAAATTCAGTTCCAGCAGTTATAATAGAAATTTTTGATGTATATTCATATCACACAGCTGTTGTGTGTGTGTGTACAAAAAGCTCTCCATTGTGATTGAAAGCTCTTTTTGTGTGCATGTGAAAGCTGCAGCAAAAGCTTAAACTTTATGCTGGTATCATGTTGATCAAAGGACTCACATATCAAGGATGTGTTCTCGACTGAAGCACTCTTATTTATTTCAATTCGTTTTTTCCCAGTTTAATGCAATTTTTATTCGAAATGGAATTAATCAACAAATTGAATTCATTGTTTGCTTGCAGGAAGCGGATTCGTGGGTGGCTGTTCACCATCTGCAGACACAGTCGGGCATATTGGATCCAGATGATTGTGTGCGCGATGTGGCCGACGATCGCGAACAGATATTGGCCCACTTTGAGGACTCGGGACCTGATCCGGGCGTGCCGCAGGGCGGCGGCGATGGCGCCTCAGGCAGCTCATCGGTGGGCACCGGCTCGCCGGACATCTTTCGTGATCCCACAAACACAGAGGCGCCCACGCGTGATCTTTCCACGCCGCATATTGAGGTGACCAGCACAACGTCCGGCCCAATGGCCGGCCTGGGCGTCGGGCTAATGGTGCGACGCAGCAGTGATCCCAATCTGCTTGCCTCCCTCAAGTCGGAGGGCGGCAACAAACGGTGGTCGGCGGCGGCGCCGCACTATGCCGGCGGTGATTCACCGGAACGCCTACTGCTGGACAAGGCTGGCGGTCAGTTGTCGCCCCAATGGGAGGAGGATGATGACACTGCAGTGCATCTCAAGGAGCAGCTGCAGCAGCAGCAACAGCAACAACACCAACAGCAACAGCAGCAGCAGCAGCAACAACAACAACATCCACAACATGCAACAACAGCGACGGGTGGTCATCAGCCATTTGCCCGCTCCGGTCGGCTATCGATGCAGTTCCTGGGCGATGGCAACGGCTACAAGTGGATCGAAGCGGCCGAGAAGCTGCAGCACCAGCAACACCAGCAGACGATGCCCACATCGCTGCCCAATAGCGCCTACTCGAGCAAATCGCTGCCGCGCGAAAGCAAACGGAAGGAGCCCCTGGGCCAGGCGTACGAGTCCATACGCGAGAAGGATGGCGAGATGCTGCTGATCATCAACGAGTATGGCAGCCCGTTGGGCCTAACTGCCATGCCGGACAAGGAGCATGGCGGCGGGTTGCTCGTCCAGCACGTGGAGCCCGGCAGTCGGGCCGAACGCGGCCGTTTGCGTCGCGAGGATCGCATCCTCGAGATCAATGGCCTCAAGCTGATCGGGCTTAGCGAGTCACAGGTGCAGGATCAGCTGCGACGCGCCCTCGAGTGCTCCGAGTTGAGGGTGCGCGTGCTGCGCGGCGATCAGCATCGTCGCTATCAGCAGCAGCAGCAGCGACGCGACTCCAAAGTGGCCGAAATGGTGGAAGTGGCAACCGTTTCGCCCACACGTAAACCGCATGCGGCACCGGTGGGCACCTCGCTGCAGGTGGCCAATACACGCAAACTGGGCCGCAAGATCGAAATTCTGCTTAAGAAGGGGCCCAATGGGTTGGGCTTCTCGGTGACGACACGCGACAATCCGGCGGGCGGGCATTGTCCCATTTACATTAAGAACATATTGCCGCGCGGTGCCGCCATTGAAGATGGCCGCCTGAAGCCCGGCGATCGTCTGCTCGAGGTCGATGGCACGCCGATGACCGGCAAGACCCAAACCGATGTGGTCGCCATATTGCGTGGCATGCCAGCCGGCGCCACAGTCCGCATCGTCGTCTCCCGGCAACAGGAACTGGCCGAGCTGCCCGTTGGCGGTGTAAGTGTGAATTATTTATTTGTGTTGTACGTCAAATATCATTACAAGATTGAAACAATTGCAGCCGCCGTCATCCGATCCACTGGAGGAGGTGGCACCTGTCGTTGCGGCTTCAGTTAACCCCCCGATTCCAGTGCAAAAGTCGAGCAGCGCCCGCTCGCTCTTCCAGCAGCAGCAGATGCAGCAGCAGGCACAGCTCAATGAATCTCAGCATTTTATTGATGCGGGCAGCGAGTCAGCGGCTTCCAATGTAAGTGTATAAAAATGATGAGGAGTACAACTGTTCGTAATCCCTAACGTCATCCATCGGCATATTGCATCCACAGGACAGCCTGCCGCCGAGCAGCAGCAGCAGCAGCTGGCATTCGCGAGAGGAGCTAACTTTGCACATACCCGTCCACGATACTGAGAAGGCCGGCCTGGGTGTCAGCGTGAAGGGCAAGACGTGCTCCAATCTAAACGCATCGACGGCCAGCGCCAGCAGCGCCATGAAACACGACGGTGATCTGGGCATATTTGTGAAGAATGTCATCCATGGTGGCGCCGCATCGCGCGACGGTCGCCTCCGCATGAACGATCAACTGTTGAGCGTCAATGGGGTCTCGTTGCGCGGCCAGAATAACGCCGAGGCCATGGAGACGCTGCGTCGCGCCATGGTCAATAATCCCGGCAAGCATCCGGGCACCATTACACTGCTAGTCGGACGCAAGATCCTACGGTCGGCCAGCTCCAATGATATACTGGAGCATAGCCATTGCCATATCAATAGCAATAGCAATAACAATAGCAATAGCAATAGCAACAGTAGCAGCAGCGGTAATATTAACATCAACAGCAACAACTGCAGCAGCAACAACAACAACAGCAGCTCCAATGCCAGCGACAATTCTGGCGCCACAGTTATTTATTTGAGCCCGGAGAAGCGAGAACCGCGTGCCAATGGCAATGGACCAGGCAGCGCCAGCAGCGATATGAATAGGTAAGTGAGGAAATTAATGCATTCGGTGTTGAATTGACAATGGGTGTTCAATGGCAGCTGAGAGATCGAAGTATAGCTAATTGTCTATATGTCTACAGTCAACTTATCTAAGCCGAACTCGAACTCGAACTCGAATTCGAACTCGAATCAAATTCGAATTGAGAATTTGTTTGCAAGTGGTTCGGTGGGTATGTCTGCAAATAGAATGTGGAGCTTTGATTCGAGGATTTTCTTACACAAGTCGTTTTGAGTGGGGTTCTTAAAGTGTTGGCCAATTTGTTGACCTAAATAATCAAGCTGGAAATAGAATCGCAGCTTGCGCTTAATCTCAGCTTAACTCATTTCCAAACATTCACAGATGGAGCAATCCCGTTTTGGATCGTCTAACCGGTGGCATTTGCTCCACAAACTCAACGCAGCCAGCACAACAGCAACAGCAGCAGCAGCAGCAGCAACAGCAACAGCAACAACAGCAGCAACAATCGCAGTCACAGTCACAAACACAGCAGCGTCGTTTGCCACCACCGCCGCTGGGGGGTGGTGGCCAAAATGGGGCGTTGCGCAACGAGAGCTACTACATGGCCACCAATGATAACTGGTCGCCGGCGCCGTTGCAATTGCTCAATGGCCATGGCAACACGGCGCTGCTCATCGAGGACGATGCGGAGCCCTTGTCACCGTGAGTCTTCATTGATGATGGAGCTGAAAAAGCGCCCAATTTAAATGCTTGTTTCAGTTAAACTTATTGTGGTCCTTCTCTGCTGTTATCATCCTTTTTTGCAGGACGCTGCCGGTGCGCGCACACGATGCCCAGCACTGCAACACGAGTAGCGCGAACACATCGCTGACGAGCGCCGCCGGCATAGGGCAGAGCGGAGTGGGTGGCACTGGAACAACGGGCGCCGGTGTGGCCAATTTCGATGCCACATACTCGTCCCAGCTGAGCCTGGAGACGAACAATTCGGGCGTGGAGCATTTCTCCCGAGATGCGCTCGGTCGGCGCAGCATCTCGGAGAAGCATCACGCGGCGCTGGATGCCCGCGAGACGGGCACCTATCAGCGCAACAAGAAGTTGCGCGAGGAGCGCGAACGCGAACGCCGCATTCAGCTAACCAAATCGGCCGTCTATGGCGGCTCCATCGAATCGCTGACGGCCCACATTGCCAGCGCCAATGCCCAAATGGCGGCAGCAGCAGCGGCAGCAGGCTACAAGCACGCCAAGACCAGTTCGCATATCGAGCAGCGTGCGCAGCAGCAGCAGCTCCTGTTGGCCGCCGAGGCGGAGGCGCGCGATCAGCTGGGCGATTTGGGACCGTCGCTGGGCTTGAAGAAGTCCTCGTCGCTGGAGTCGCTGCAAACAATGGTCCAGGAGCTCCAAATGTCCGATGAACCGCGCGGCCATCATGCGTTGCGTGCACCACGCGGACGTGGACGCGAGGACAGCCTGCGTGCTGCCGTCGTCAGCGAGCCGGATGCCAACAGTGAGTAAAAAAGCGCTTGACTTGACTTGAGTTAACTGAAAGTCACTTTTTTTTTTAGAGCCGCGCAAGACCTGGCTGCTGGAGGAGGGCGATCACGAAGGCGGCTTCGCCTCGCAGCGCAATGGACCCTTCCAGAGCTCCCTGAACGATGGCAAACATGGCAGCAAGTCGCGCGCCAAGAAGCCGAGCATATTGCGCGGCATTGGACACATGTTTCGCTTTGGCAAGAATCGCAAGGATGGCGTTGTGCCCGTTGATGGCTATGCCACATCCTCGATTGTGTCATCAACGCCAGCAAACTCATCGCAGTCGCAGCAGCAAACACAGCAGTTGCAACAGCAGCAGCAGCAGCAACAGCAGCAGCAGCAACAGCAAATTCCAGCCGCTGCACTGGCAGCATTGGAACGGAACGGCAAACCGCCAGCGTATCAGCCACCGCCGCCGCTACCAGCGCCAAATTCAGCTGGTGGTGGTGGTGCGCCAGGCAGTTCATCATCAGCAGCTGGCAGTGGCGGCGGTGGAATCGGAGGCGGAGGCGGTGGCGGTGGCAGTACACTTAATGGTGGCATACATCAGAATGATATATTCAATCATCGCTATCAGCATTATGCCAACTATGAAGATCTGCATCAGCATCAGATTAGGTGAGAGGCTGTGCCTGGTTACATTGCTGCCTGCATTGCTCATTGTTTTTGTTATCCATCTTGTCCATTAATTGTAATTAATATATATTTAAGTGCAGGTGCTGGTTAACATGCGTATAGATTATAAAATACTTCTCAATGGGTTTTCTCTGTTCATCCAAGCAATTATATAATTCATTTCCTCCAAATTCCTTCTTTCTTTGTCTCTGAAGGTAGAATAAAACAGTATTGGCCCAACTATTTAGTTTGTTTAGGATTCCCAAATGACTAAGCGTAAACGTTATTTTAGAAGATCAGGTTTGTCGTCAAATCCTCGAAGCCATTTTAATATTTATTATTTTTTTTTATTAATCAGTAATATAATTTGCGTATTTAGATGTTTATTGCTGACTTTGTTCGCACACCAAATGACATAAAATAGATTGTAATGTGCATAAGACAAGCCATATTAAGAACGCATTTATCAAGTTAAGCCAGTTTCAATATAGTTTTGAAGTTAAGCCAGTTTCAGTATAGTTTTGCATAGCAGTTGAGTCATTTAGACCGAAATTGGTGTTAAGTTTAGTTAGTCGCTCAGTTGGCGCTTTAACTAGAATAGATATATTTTTGTGGCTATTACTGTTTTGTATGTGTACTCTGTTTCATGTCTCTATCTCTCTCTCTCTCTCTCTCTCTCTGTGTCTCTCTCACTTTCTTTGTCTAATTTGTGTTTCTTTCACTCACTTGTTCATACACTACTCACACAACAACAACAACAACAACACTGCGACATCAACAACAACAACAACATCAACAAACAACAAAATCACATATCATGCCTCATATTCTAACAACAGCGACGGCGTTGAAGAGACGCTCTCCGAGTCGACGCTCGAATGCATGCGACAGCAGGTGATCAGGCAGCGCATCAAGGTCGAGGCCGAAAGGTAACACACACACACACACACACACACGCACGCACATCCAAACTAACACACAGCTTTGGTTTTTGAGTAGAGTATATGCCGCACACACACACACACACCCACCCTTGCAACCACCACACCCCCACAGACCTCCTCACATCCATTTGTATAATATTCGAACTGTGCTTCTTGGCTTCCGTTTTGCAGTCGCCGCCATCAGCATTACCATTCGCAGCGCAGCGCTCGCTCGCAGGATATCAGTATGCATTCCTCCTCACACAGTCCACAGCAGCCGCCACTGCCACTGGCCCCCGCCGCAGCAGCTGTGCACCAGCAGTCATGCAATGGCATGCGACCCATGAGCAGCTACTATGAGTACGATACGGTGCAGCAGCAACAGCAACAGCAGCAGCAGCAGCGCGTTGGCAGCATCAAGCACAGCCATAGTCATGGACATGGACATGGACTGGGCCATCACAATGGCAACTCGTCGTCGCCGATTAGCGTGAATGTGGCACAGCCGCACTGGAAGGCAGCGGCGCTCAACGGTTACTCGCCGGCATCATTGAACAGCAGTGCACGGAGCCGCGGCCCGTTTGTTACACAGGTGACCATTCGCGAGCAGACCGGTATGCCGCAGCTGCAATCGCAGACACAGCAGCCCACATATCAGACGGTGCAGAAGATGTCGACAGCAGCGCAGCCGCAATCGCAATATGGCAGCGCCGCCGGCGCACAGCCGCATGCATCCAAGGTGTGACTATAGGTGCTGGCGCGTGCGCGCGCCACACGCGACGTCCTCGTAGATAGCCAGCACAGTCGCCACACAGAGCTGAGCGAGGTGGAGGTCTTCTACTATGCCACTGAGTGCTGAACTTGGGGACGGATCGCATTTGTGAGACGCAAGCGGCCGGCAAAGCAATCAATCAACTGGCAACCAGTTTGTTTATTCTTTTCTTCATTTTTTCTTGCTAAGAAACTAAAATAAAATGGAATAATTGTTTATCATTTGACAAGGGCAACTGTGTCCACACACAATACACACACACACACAACACACACACACACACAACACACACACACACACAACACACACACACACACACAACACACACATATATGCTTATAGTTAAGTCCATTAAATAAAATACATAAAACAATGAAAGTATTCCATGGAAAGCGCATATTGAAGAGCAGAACAACAAAAATGCTGCTCTTCTCAATTCAAATATAAAATGTTCAATTGAATAGCGAAAGCGAAAACGAAAGCGAAAAAACCAATGCACTGCGCTTAAATTAAGTTACACTTATTGTATTAATCGCTAAGTCTAAGTCAAAGACCATGTAAATAACAATTACATTTAGTGTTTAGGCAAACGATGTGAAGCGCAGAGGCGTAGAAAGGCAAAAGAGAAACGAAATATTATTTCATACAAAGCATACTTACTTTACTTAAATATGGGCTGCATTCAAGTCTCAAACAAAGGAATACATATAACGAGATATTTGTGAAAATGTTATTTAACCTAAAACCAAAATAAATCGATTTATTTTATATAAAAGCAAATCACTTCAAATTGTATTAGGCGCTTCAACCAAGCCAAAATCATGTTGTAAATATATAGCAGACATATACATATAGACATAATACATATATTTACCTATATATTATTTATATAAAAAAACTATTCTTTTTTTTTTTGTTTGTTTGTTTAGCTTTAAAGCAGGCGCCATTTTGTATGCAAAAATAAAAGTTGAAAAGTAAAACTTGAGAGTCCCAATAAATTTTTGTTTGAAAATAATACACGAAACATGTAATCTTTCTATAAGCTTAACTTATATTTAAACATTAATTATTATGTATTAGCATATTAAGTGAACATTGTGCAGCTAAAACTGAACGTTTATCAAGACAACTTCAAATTACATCGTATATAAATACATAATCCATACACATACGCTACATATTGTAAATTTTGTGTATTTTGTATATTGCAAAATTCTGTTGCGAAATAAATATTTTAAGTTTCTATATATCAAAATAACAATTGTGTGTTTCTCATTTTGTATGATTGACTGATCCCATTTCAACTTCTTGGATTGAGTATTTCTTGGCGCAAACCAGTCCACAAAAGTCCAGATAGCTTAACGACTTAACTTACTTTGCAACTATGCCACTAAATTTGTAATATTTGAATAGCTTTTGAACTAGCTATCGGATTTCAGTGATATTGAATATCGATAACAATCGATGCGTTTTTGAGATACACAATTTTATCTGCACTTCAATATTTGAATATTTTTTTGGACCACTCACTTATTCACAATATATCTGCCGATATAAGCCGATTTATTTCCACACGTCTTTGGACAACGCATCCTCATTGCGTTTTGATAAGATTTTCGACATTGTTTTTGGCTCTCCGGGGTTCTTGATATGAGATATTTTCTTCTGCGCTGCTGCTGGCTTCGACAGAGTTGGTGTCCGAGGCAGCAGTGTAAGTTTGGAAAGACCTTTGGACGCCGTGACAGAGTTAGCGCCATCCACTAAACGTTTCGGATAATTCTTGATTTTCCTCTTAGCTAATTTTCTTGGTTGCAGTGGTGCCGCGGTCCCTGCTAGCGCTGATGGTGCCACTGTTGTCGTGTGCAGTTTCTGGGACTTTGGTAGCACGATCGGCGTTAGCAGAGTAAAGTTCTTCAGCGATTCCAGGCTGGGTGTTTTGGACCAGCGTTCACTATAGTTGTGAATTAGAGAGAACAATGTGTGTTAGCGCCTTGAAATTGAATCAATAAATTAATAAATGACAGAGAAAACACTTTTAACAATTTTCTAAATAATGAAATTGTAATATTGTGGTGCTCTTTCGACTCATTTCTAGATAAACTTACTCGGGCATTCCGCTGGGTGGTATGACCACGTCCAGAACATTATCAATCAGACGGGTCTTCAGTGTGCAATCATTTTTGGTGGTCGAGTGAATCGATGGAGATGTATTGATCTCGATGAGCCATGGCTTTAGATTGTTATCGATAATGATATCATAGCCGTAGACCTCAAAGCAATGCCGATCGTTGGCCATCACCGGCGCCACAGCGTCCAGTGAGTGGCGTATCGTCTCCGAAATGCGTTGTGAGAGCTGCTTCGAAACGCCCTCGCCTCGTATGCTATCCAAATAGAGACATAGATTCTGCATGGACCACTTGCCACCATGTATGGTGTTGTACTCTTTCTACAATGCCACAGAATCAATCGATAATATACTGTATACTGGATAATTGTGTATCGAAATAATTGAACTTACATTATTCTTTTGTATGCTAACATTTGTGAGATGCATAAAGACATTATCGATCTCGGCTTGATCGTATCTCTGTGTGCAAAACCGACAAAATCCCTCATTATACAGATAGGCCTTGATCGGATTGAATGCGGTGACTAGCACGTACAGACGCAGATCGAACTTCTTGCCGCCAATCAGTAGGGGATTATCAATATATTTGGAGATGATGCAGGTGTCGCGATGGAAGTGTGGATAGAACTTGCGCGCCTCATACGCGTATCTTTTTAGCTTTGATAGTTTGTTGATCAAATAGATGCCAACACCTTGAGATTTATGCGATGGCTTAACGATCCAAGTGCTGGCCGGATTCTTGTGAAATTCCTGCACAAACAGATTGTAATCGGAGGGCAGTACAAATGTGATGGGTATTATGTCCAGGTGCATGTATCGTGTGCCACCGTTGCCCAGTTTCGTTTGCATCGGATGTTGGTCGGCCAGTGCGTCGCCCTTGCGCTCCAGGTCCTTGCGGTAGCGCTTTATATTCTTCACAAGCAGATCCTTGCGCGACAGCTCTATCGAGTTGGGAAAGTGATTGATCATTCTGCAAGACATTTCGATTATATTTGTGAATTGAAAGCAGAAGATTGTAAGTAAGACGATGTGTACACAATCACACAAAATTATTAACGTTTGGAATTGAAAAACTTTTTCGAAAATTCCTCTGCACGGTCGGAAAGTAGGCAGGAATTCACTGTTTTTAAGGCATTTCGCTTCGCGTTTTGCTGATTATAGAAATATACTCACTGATCGGATCGCATGCGGTAGGGATGATCGACCCCAAAGATGTAGCGACAATTCTGGGAGTAGGCCCAGTACAGATTCCATTCGCCATCAAAGGCGGGCACTCTCTGCCAGCCCCGTTTCTGAAAATTATTGATCAGCGCCGTCTTATCACAATCGGTGCTATAATATACACATTGTTGAGACTTGCGCGGCCAGGGCTTCTCCCTGGATACCAGTCCAAAGATCGGCAGTGGCGGTGGCAGCACCGGCATCTTCCAGTTGCAACTGCTACTCGACTCCATATCTTTGTCATTTTTCTTCGTCTCTTTGAATCGGTTATTCATATCTGCAATTTGGAATTTTGTGTTAATTGAATTGGTCCAAAACTGTTCAACGTGTGTAGATATTAGAAATTGTAGAAATTGAGAATTTTTAAATTGATTTATAGAGCGAGTGCTCTAACTATGTTAGTAAGTACACTCAATACTCAATACAACAATTCCCTTTCAGAAAATTGTAAGCCTGCTGCTTCAATAAAAACAATAAACAATTAACCGATTAACCGATTAAAATCAAATGGAATAATAATACAAATCTCTAAACTAATGCTATTGTACAAAAATGTTATATTTCAAATGCCAAGCCCGTAAATGTTGTCAAAAAAATCGGGCTACAGCTGGAGCTGGAACAGATATGGCGTCAAGGTAAAAATCTCGATATTAGACTGAAAGTGAGTTGACTTATTTTAGGGAAGTGCAACCAAGATTTGCTTTAAACCAATTGGTCAGTTACGTACTAAAATAGATAGAATAAATATCTTACGTCAGAGAGCAGAGAGTGAGAGAGAGAGAGAGAGAGAGTGGGAGAGTGGGAGAGTGGGAGAAACAGAGTAACATGGAGAAAGAATTGGGAATTGGGAAATAAGTGCAATGTTGATTAAGCCGGTTGATTGCTTAAGCTTTTTGGTGATCAGCAGTGGCGATATATTCTAACGATCAATGCCTCATCTGTTTTGTGGTATAACAAAGAGCTACTTCATATTGACATAGATATTGTGCAGCAATGCATACAGCATATAGAAATTGAGCAGCTGTGCAAACAATTGCGAATTGTGTGTTGTGTGTTAAGCTGATCAAGTATTTGCATGATCGGTGATCATTAGATCCCATTATGTACATACATATGTACATATATATCGACATAGTATGCACATCGTCAATGAAAAACGAAAGTGTTAATTCCATTTAACACCCATTAACAATTACAATAGTCGCATTCTCTATGGGTTTTTGTGCCAAAGATGAGCACATCTGCGATTTGACTTTTTACTCTTTACTTTTTACTTTTATATTTGTTTTATGGGTTTGGGTTCCGGCTTTGAACACGACTAGGGGTTCTAAGGGTAAGCACCGCGTGGCAACTAACCACAACTGAGCAAATTGACTTTGACATATTTTAAGCATTTCGGACTGAGGTTTAGTTGGTTAGTTGGTTGCTCATTAAGCAATTCACACCAATTGACCAATGCCCGCCAAAAGGGCACAAGAACAATAGCCAGGCATTGTGCGTGCCCCTGGAGCTGTTGCCTATAAATGCTCGTCGGCGGTCAACAAAGTTCAACAGTCAGTCAGCAGTCAGTGTCCACTCAAGTGCAGAGGTCCAATCGCAACAATCGCAATAGCAATAGCAATAGCAACAGCAACGTCATCTGTGGATAGATTTAGCTTGGAGAAACAACATGAAGATCTCTGCCATTACGTTGCCCGTACTCCTGATAGCCGCTCTGGTGGCGCCTAATGAGGCCACCTTTGGCAAACTGGGACTGGTGATTGGCGGCGCTGGAGGTGGCGGCTATGGTGCTGCCTATCCCTATGCCGCTTCCGGTGTCGGCTACGGCGGTGGCTATGGCGGCGGCTACGGTGGCGGCTACGGCGGCGGCTACGGCGGTGGCTACGGCGGTGGCTATAACTATGGCGGCGATAATGTGGTTAAGGTCATCAAGGTATCGGTGCTGCCAGGTGGTGGCTATGGGGGCGGCTATGGAGGCGGCTATGGAGGCGGCTATGGCAGTGGTGGACTTGTTGGCGCTGTGCCAGCCATTTCCACATCGGCTGTGGTCACACCCGTTGTCACATCTGTGGCCTCAACGCCAGTCATTGCCGGCGGTGCTGGGTATTTGGGCGGCATTGGTGGTGGCATTGGAGGTGGCATTGGAGGTGGCATTGGAGGTGGTTACGGTGGCTTTGGTGGCTACACTGGCGGTGCACCATTACCTGTATCGTATGGCTTTGGCTCCGGCTATGGTGCCGGCGGTGGCTTTGGACTTGGTTTTGGTGCGCCAGCCGCCTTGGGCGGCGGCGGTTGGTGCTAGGCAGCGATGACTGTGACGGATGAAAGCGATTTGTTTCTATATTCGTAACATCTAATTTTTTTTTTGTAACTATAAATATACGAAATGAAATAAAATGAGAAAAAAAAACCTGTAAAGTATTTATTAAATCTTTACAAACCTTTTAAAACGCTTACGAAATAAAAATAAAATGAATTATTAAAATGGAAACTATAGTTCTATATATTCTATATATTGAAGAAGGATGTACATATCTTATTCTTAAAAAGAAAAAAAAAACCATCGAAAATAGTTAACAGACTAGCATGATAATTATAATAATACATAATTGCATTCCAAGTCGAGTATGCTAGTATTGTTGGAAAGGTAGATGTGTAGATATTTATTTTGGGAACTCGCACAATTGAATTTCATTATGCGGCGATTACCAAATCTCTTAGCCAAACAATGAGCACAGGCCAAAGATGTGCCACAATGCGTTGACCTTCAATTTAAAACGGAGCGAGAAATGAAATTGAGAGTAGACCGTGTAGTAGTCCGTGCTGGAGAGCAGCATAGAGGTTGACAGCATCACGCACTCTGTGGACACATTCACTTAGCTCACAATGTTCAAATGGTAATGAAGTGCCAAACAGGCATAACCAATACCCCTCCCCCACCCAAGACCGAATAGTGGCCCAAGAATATTGTACGCCAACTGCCTACAAATTGTCTTGAAATCTTGAAATCTTGCAATATGGAAATTAGCTATGATTTCATATTTGCCAAGTTCGGCAAATGGAAGAGCTAAAATCCCCAAGAGAAGCAATAACTGAACACTTTGAAATTGCTAAGAGGCTTAAAGCAACGCAAACATTTTTCGAAAGCAACGCAATTCTTTTTAGGAGCTACTTTTGAAATAATTCAAACTATAACATTGAACAGGCTTTGTTATCCCTTAACTGCTAAGGAAGAATTGAGGAGGAAATATTGATAAAGTGAAAGAAAATAGATATTTATGAACTTAAGCAGTTATTTGCTTAGCTGACTTTTCTTCTTTCTACTCTTTGCAACTAGAAATTTGATGTAGGAATTTAGCTACAAATAAAATCTGTTGATAATGAAAATGTTGAAAGCGTTGTCAAAGACTCATTGGGAACTGTTGTCAATTTGCATACACAAGCCGCAGTAATCTACAATATAAGAAATGGGCGAAGGGCCCATACCTGTTACCTGTGTGAATAACTATGCCCCGAAATGGGGGCAAAACGCGCCCTTTGAGAAGCGGACGTGGTACACGTTTTGGTTTGAGTTGAGTTGAGTTGAGTTGAGTTGACTTGGGATCTGTTTGCACAGCATTTTGCTCGCTCGGTTAGCACATCCAATAGCCAAAGCCATGCCCAAAGGTAAGAGCAGTAGCTACGTGTAGCCATGCACAAGATCTCGAGTGAATGAATGACAATACGAGTATGTATTGTATGTTCCTCTATACATACTATATACATATGTATGTACATATATACAATGAGCACATAACAACACTGCTATGTAAAAGTGTATATAATGTGTATGTCGGTAAATATATATATACGCATTTATGAAACTATGTGCACTGCGCAAAACTGTACATACATATTTATATTGGAAGCAATCCAATCAAGTGCGAAATTTGAGTGTAATTTTTACTGCTTTTATATGACAATGAGTTGTATAATGTATTGCAAAAATAAAAACAAATATACCTGCAAGAACCGCTATCTTACCCACATCGAAGATCGCATACACTTGCAGACCTTGCTTGAAATTTCATTATCAATTTAAAAGACCAGCCGATTGTTCCTATGGAATAAGCTGAACCGGTTCAAAGTTGGTACGCAATTTAGTCCTGAGATTGCACAGTAGACGACGAAAGTGTAATGCCTTCTGTGCAAATAGGGTATAAATAGTTTGCAGAAAAAGTTGAATTTTATTTCGTTTCTGTGGAGAAATATAGGGACATGGCACCTACAAGTTTGAAGCATTTATTTAAGAGCTTGACAGCATACATATCTGGCATTAATTAAAAATTATCAATATTCACTGCTAATCAAGCGCAATACACTGAAATCGAATATATTCTGAATGCTCATAATTATCAATTGCATTTAGTATTCTGACTCTGACGCTATATCTTTCCATATAGTTATAGTTTTGTCAGATCTCTGAGTCTTCGGGAAAAAATAATGCAGCAAGTTTTAGTTTCAAATTTATTGCCAATGCAATTTAAGTTTAAAATATAAATATACATTTATAGTAGTTAAGTTAAATATATAGATACATACTTAATTTATGTTATAGAAATCTATTCAGATTTTGGTGCCCCCCCATTTCTCTTCGTGTAACAGCATTTTGGGAATTACCTGCGCTTCTTGCGAATCGGTTTGACGGTTGACGGTTGACGGCAAACCAAACTTATTTGCTTAGAGAGGTGAGAAAATACTTCAGTTTATGGTTAAGTAGTTGAGTTGAGTTGACAGACAGACAGACAGGCAGACAGACGGGCTGAGAGACAGATAGCTGGATAGATGGATAGCCAGCTAAATACACATACATATTAATATGTAGATAGCAGGGGGGTTACTTGGATGGGTAGCCAGTTACCTGTGGACGCGCCTTAGTTTTTGGCGTTTTGGTGTGGCCCGTAAGTAACTATTTATGAATTAAGCAAACACCTTGATGAGCTCCAAAGTGTCGCTGCTGTTGCTGCTGCTGCTTTGGCAGCAATGGCTGCTGTTGCTGCCGACGCTTTCGTCGATCGGGTCCAGTGTGAAATATAAGATTTGTATTATTAGAACTACACACACAGAGACACACGCACACGCGCACTCGGGAGCGAGGTAAGGGACTGCGACATAGTCGCGACGCCGGCTGCTGGCGGTTGGCCTATAAATTTGTGCGTATCGCCATCTGTGGACATCAGTTGAGTTGTGTCCAGACCAAGCAGCAGACGCATTCATCCCCTCCAGCACAGCGACACGCATTTTCCAGTGAGATGAAGCTATTCGTTTGCATTGTTGTTGCGCTATTGGCGCTCGGTGCACCCGCCCAGGCCTTCCTGGGCGCCAAGCTGGCTCTACTCAAGGCCATTACCGGCGGTGGTGGCGGCGGCGGCGGCAGCTATGGCGGTGGTTATAATGGCGGCGGCTATGGCGGCGGCTATGGCAGCGGCGGTTACTCGGGTGGATATAACCAGGGCTACTACACGCAGTCCAGCCGACCAGTGTACAACAACTACGGAGGCGGCAGCTATGGCGGTGGTTATAATGGTGGTGGTTATGGCGGTGGCTATGGCGGTGGTTATGGCGGTGGCTATGGCGGTGGCTATGGCGGCGGCAGTGAGCAGGTAATCAAGGTCATCAAAGTGGTGGAGCAGCCTCAAAGCTATGCGCGGTCCAGTGGTGGTTATGGTGGCGGCTATGGCGGTGGTTATGGCGGTGGTTATGGTGGCGGCTATAGCAGCAGCTATGCCAACTCCGGCAGCTACTCAAGCGGCGTTTCGGCACCCGTCCAGGCAGTGCCAGCTGTGAGCTACTCTGCCCCAGCACCAGCACCCATTACATATTCTGCCCCAGCACCAGCACCCATTACATACTCGGCACCAGCGCCAGTTAGGTATTCGGTGCCTGCACCACAGCCCGTACCGGTAACATACTCAGTGCCCGCGCCACAGCCGGTGGTGCGCGTGCAACCAGCGCCAATTACGTACTCAGTGCCCGCGCCACAACCAGCTCCGGTGCCAATTAGCTACTCTGTGCCAGCACCACAGCCAGCGCCCATTCCCGTTTCATACTCGGTGCCAGCACCACAGCCGGTGCGGCCTGTGCAGCAGTATGTGAAGACCATCAAGGTCATTGTTGATGCGGACAGCAGCGGTGTGAACCATGTGCCCAGTCCCGTTTATGGCCCACCCAGCTGGAGCAATGGTGGTGGCAGCTACAACAACGCTGGCTGGAACAACGCTGGCTGGAACAATGCTGGCGGCAGCAGCTACAGCAACAACGGTGGCGGCTGGAAGAGTGGTGGCATCTGGGAGAAACTGGCCGCTGGCTGCTAAGCCAGTCCAAGCCAGCCAGTCCTTTACCGCCCCCTTGTGACCCCAGGCAACTCCAACTGTTTATATAATTATTATTACTATTACTTTTTTTTTTTTTTTGTATAGTTCTAAACACATTATCGAATACTTTTCGCGCTAATTGATATTTTTTCCCTGTATTCGCACCTATGATCTAAAATCTATTGCTGTGTATATACCCTGTTACCGAAAATAAAATGTCATCTTATTGTGTAATATTCCCAAACAGGCGTAAATTATATTGACCTTAAATGGTTATGAGTATCATCAAAACTTTGTATCGTTCCCGTTGTTTCCCAAAATTTGCTGTTTTTTACCTTGTTTATTTTTTTGGTTAGGTTTTTCGTATTTTCAGTCTTTGGGCTATTGACTCGGTTCGTTGTGTTCTACACTGTATATATGCTAAAGTCTACAAGCATTTGAGAAAAGTTATCACCTAACTGCTAACTGTGATCAAGCGCAAATGCTAACGAATCCATGCCAACGATGGATGGATGACGTGGATCTGGATAAGACAATTGCGTGCTGTGCCTGATGCCACTCAAACATAAATCATGGGAAACTTTTTGATTTCTCTTAATACAATATCGAAAGTTCTACATGGAATGACTTACTGCATAGGATTGCACCCTGATAGCATATAGCTCCAATAGTTCTTCTGTTCAAGTAACATTCATTTAATCTTAATCAAATCAACTTTAAATAATCCTAATCAAAACTGTGAAAACAAGCAAGATCTGGGTTTTAGAAATGCTTTGATTATCCGTCAGTCACTCTGGATCACTCAAATTTGTCTACAGGTCATCATTTAGTCGTATACGCTTCCCCTACTGCAACCCGAATCCCCAATTACAGCACGCTTAAAACGCAGCCAGTTGTAAGTTTATCTTATCTAGAATTCTCAAGCTAGCTAGTTAGGTAGTCAGTGAAGTGTTACGGGTTCTATTGGTGGTGGCAAGTGCAGACATCAGATGTCAACAGAGGGAGCCCCAATGGGCGTTCAGCCAAGACGCGAGACATCCGCTGAGCCAACATATAAATAACATTTGAGTGCCTTCCGCTGCCAGTTGCCACTTTGTCTATTGTCAATGGATGCACAATGCACATATGTGACGGCTACTTGATGCACATGCTTTTACTGCTTGTGTTGGTGGCTGGTGAGGCTTTGCCACACCAGAAGTCGCTGCAGCAACCACAACAACGGAATAGAGACGATGCCAAGCGCGTCGGCAACGGTGCGTATGCGTCAACAGCAAAATCCGGAATCCTAATTGATGTTTCGTGTTATACATGCCCACAGATTACGGTCCGGTGATATACATCAGCTCTGCCGTGCTGCAGCTGGCACCCGATGACAAAACACAATTACTGCTGTTGCCGTTAGCCGAGAGCAGTAGCACCAGTAGCAGCTCATACCACCCAATCCTCCCGCACATCTATGCACTGGATGGGCTGTTGCCAGTGCCTGCTGCACATCAGCCGCGGTTGACGATCAGCGATAATCTGGACTTCCAGGAACGCAACACAAACAATGTAAAGTCCCATGGCCACTAGAAAGCACCGCTCACAGCAACAGACTTGGACGCATGTGAGGAGTTTTCAGTATAAGCTTTGGCGCATTTAAGTAAAAAAATATATAAATAATTAAGTTGTTTACTATCCGTTTCTTTGCTTCCGTTATATCCTTCAAGAACTTTATTAAATATCAGATCGAATTTTTCTAGGAGTGGACAAAACACTGTCATTTGAAGAGATTAAGTTAGTAAATTTATTGCAGAAAAAAAAATATATATATGTATATACTTGGGTATAAAAAAAAAATTTTGCTAGTATTAACGGCGATCACAGTCTTAATGAAAATCCAGCTGGTGCTCGAGAACATTATGCTGATGCTCCAGCTCCAGCTGATGCGAGATGTGCTCCTCCTGCTGCTGATGCTCCAGTTGGTGCTGCTCGTGCTCCTCTCTATCCTTGAACTCGTAGAGCGTGCTGTAGCTGAAGGCACCCTTGCCATGATCAATGCCTGGCACAGGCTGCTCACCATGGTGCTCCTCCAGATCTAGCTCCAGTTTCGGCTCCGACTCGTAGTGCTCATGATGTTCACTGGCCTCGGCATACTCCACGCCCGCATCGCTGCTGCCATAGTCTGACGGAAAACTGTGCTCACTAAGGTGGTCACCGAGTGTTCCACTGTGCTCACTAATGTGGTCATTCAGTGCGCCTAGCTCCTCATGATCCACATGCTCATCCGCATATGCATCGCTGCCACCCAGATCCAGTTTGGCAAGTGCCTGGCCGCCGCTTAGAGCGCCCGCATAGCTGCCCAGCAGGCCAGGTGAGTGGATGCCAGCTGCTAGCTCACCACCACCAATATAGCCCGCATTGATGCTCAACGTCTGGGCCAGCAACAGGATCAGTTTGAAACGCCAGTTGAACATGTTGACTGCGGATTTGTGGACTGTATGTGGTTAGCTACCGATGCGTAGAAATGGTGCAAGTCGACTATTTTCTTTTCGGCAAGAGTGCTGGCATTTATACGCTGGCTTTTGGCACACATTTTCCTGCATTTTCCAGTCGCAACAACAACAGCAACAAAATTTAGCAGCGCTTTTGTTTAGCTTGGCTGGGCCATCCATGTTGCAATGGACATCTGCCGACAACAACGACGACGACGACGACGACGACCACGACGACGAGGCGGTCGCTTTGCTGCAGCTGATAATTTTGTGCACTTATTGTGTATATTACGTATACGCGAGCGCGGCTAGCTTGGCCAGCTCGGCCAGCTCACCCAGACGGCCAGCGATTGAGCCGAACCGAATTGAACCAAGCTAGTCGGCAGACCATTGAATAGTCGCAATTATGAGAGGCGCCGACACCATCGTCAACGCCACCGCAGCAGCAGCAGCAGCAGTAGCAGCAGCAGCAGCAGCAGTAGCAGCAGCAGTAGCTGTTGTTGCAACGTGCGTATACGTAATATTTGCGACTGGCCCCAGTTCTATGCAGGCGAAAAAGGTTGCATAATCGAATGCCGTATATTATTAGCTCTTGGCTATGCTGATTTTGTCAAGACGATATCGATACGGAAGCAGCAACAACCACGGGCACCATCTCGCACCATCTCGCACCACCTCGCACCACCTCGCAGCCATACGCCAAGTGGCTGTTAATTGCGTGGATCAACAAAACGGAAACGGATGGCTAAGAGCGAGGTGGCCAAGGCCACCCAGAGACGAGGGTTGCTTGACTTATGCTCTTGTTGTTGCATGGGCCCCCCCACCCCCAAACTACAGTACATACAGGCACATGAAGAAAGTAAGGGTATTTTTGTTGTTGTTGTATTTACTCGATTGTGCAAGTAGCGCATACGAAACGCATTCGAGCAGCGGCAACAACAGCGGCTGTTGCCAGACAATTAAAAGCGTTAGCAGAGCGACCAAAATGCATAGCCATAGACAGATAGACAGATAGACACATTTATGTTTGCAGCACATCCAATTTAACTTCGTGGCAATGCCAACAATGCGCGCATGCATGTATCTCACAGATTGCAGAAGCCACAATAACACAAATGGTAAACACATACATATTTACGTGCACACAAACTGATACATATCTCTATAGACAATATTTAGTGTGACTGCCAAACAGTTTGCAATTGCGAAGAAAATGACTCCAAATTTGAGTGCACTGAGAGATTCATAAATTCGGTTAATAATACTATGTTTTTTTTGTTTTTTTGGTTTGTATCGCAGGTATTATTAATCCCATTTGAAATAGATTTCGTTCTATTTTTGAAGGAGTTGCTAAAATATTTGAATTGAATATTGAAGCAAGCTTATTAACAAATAATGCCTCTTACTGCATTTTGAAATAAATATTTGTAATTATACTTCACATTAAGTTCTTATCAGCTGTGATGCATATAAACGTCGATTAAACGTTTGATTTTGATTACAAACATATTAATAAAATCTCTAAAAACTTTCATCAATAAATGCTTAAAAATTAAAATTAAAAATGAGTTCAAAGTGAATAAATAACCAAATACCAAATCCATATGAACTATAAATATCTTTAATATTATTAAATAGTCTCAGCATTTACTGCTGAATATATCAGTATCAATCAAATTAGGTCAGAGCAATGGCAATTAACAATAATTGAATATTATACAAAATACACAATACATTTTAAATTGTGTAAATGAAGGAATAAGAGATTGCGATTGCGAATACAAGTAATTGCAGTGTAAGTGTAATATGTAATTAGCTTGCACTTTTATTCGTCAAATCTTTTGACACGTTGCCTGTTACAAGTTTTCGGCTCTTTGGCCACAAGCAAGCACTTACCACTGTTAGTGCTTTGCCAGTGGCTGTTGCTTGTAGCGTGCCAACGGTAGCAACGGCAACAAATAGTCGCCACAACAACAATAGCAACAACATCGATAATAACAGCAGCAGCAACAACAACAGCAATATCAGTTAGTCAAGCGGGGCAGTGGGGCGGCCTACAAAACTTTTGCGCACACAAATTACCAATGTAATAAGTTGTTGTTGTTGTTGTTGGTTTTGTGTGTTTCTGGTGATTGCTGTGCGCACACCCACAAGCACAGCAACAGCAACATCAACAACAACAGCAACAAGCTACTTTGTTATTAATTCGCATTTTGTTGGCAGCATTTCCTAACGCAAATACTTAACTTTTCTGTTGCCTGTTTATTTTTTGTTGTTGTATTTTTTAACAAGTCGGGAGTACCTACAGACATCGAGTTGCAACAATGGTGCACTGGCTGAGCAGGGAACGAACTGGTGGCTGAGTGTTGGGCAAGCGGACAGGCAATTCATATTGCCTGGGTGTGTTTTTTTTGTTGTTGTTTTAAATAGGTATGCTGCAGAAAACAGCAATAAATAGCAATATTTATGACAAGCGGTATTCTAAATGCATTTCTAAGTAATGCTCCATCTATTTAATTTTCATACTAATCGCCCGATTGTCTACAGTCATTAAGGTTGGCCTTCAGAAAACAAATTGGTTAATTACCTAAGCAGATGGCCGTCTGACCGTCATAAAACTTTTACTGGTTATAACCTTTGCTTACTTAGAATTATGTTAAGAATACATATGGTCTCATGTATAAGCTGGTAAATTTAATAGAATGGTTAAAAAATGTATGTTTGATATACGAGTATGTATAATGCGCACATGTACACAAGTATAATTATTCAAATAAAACAACAACTGAGTTTTGTCATTCCCTCGATCTATTGAATTTCCACCCAACGTTTAGAGAAATTACTGGATCATTTCCAGGCACAAAAACAAACAGAAACTATTTAAGATACAGGTAACAGATCAGATACAATCTGCCAAGTCATTTCATAAATTATATATACATTTTCCGATTTGGTTTAGTTAACGATGGGAGTTTCCATAGTATTCAACTGTTTAATGTGTTAATCTAAAACTGAAATGAAAAATTGAATACCCTTCGATTCGAAATAAAGCCTAATTACAGATGAATTCATTTTATTTTCTTCACTTCATGTGTATGTCAGAATAATGAAATATGTAGAACTCGATCTTTTGCATGTTATCTTTGTTCAAAATCCGAATAAACTGTAGGTCGTGATCTGCTTGATGATTTTGTGCGATCGCTGATGTCAACTTGTATATAGTTCTTTGTGACGTCTGTGTTCGGGCCACTCCAAATGAGGCGGATATTGTACGTCTGCAGCATAATAATAATTGATGCGAAATACACCTATTAATATGAAACTGTCGTAGTCAGCAAACATTTCATATGTCCGCATCGATTATTAAAGCGTATACACTGAGAAATGTGTAGGGAACTGGATATTTCCAGGAATGAGTTCTAATTCGTAATCAGTGCTTTCTTATATAAAGATTTTCACTTGAACAGTATGGCTTAATTTATAATACAATCCTCAACAATTGAAGCTCATATGACAACAAAGTGAGAATAGATTCAGTAGTTTTTAGAATCGGAGAAGGGTAGTCCAATCTAATTTATAGTGTAGTACGAACAATTCGCAAAGTTTCGTTTCGTTTCGTTTATATTGTTTTTGTTTTTGTTTTTGTTTCGGTTTTCATTTTCTTTTCCCGATTTGATTTGATTCGATTCCGATTCCTATTCAGATTCGAATTCAGATTTAATTCGTTTTGTATACAAATAAGGTGCAGATCACACGAGGAGAACATTTGCACAACTTGAGATTAGGAAACGCCGCTGAAACTAATAATAAACGAAGGCGAAGTGAGTGTGTGTTTGGATGATATCGTAGAATCTAATTAAGAAACAAGTGCACTTTATCTGATTGTTGTGTTGTGCATCAAATATTCTTACAGCTGCGGTCAAAATAATATAATAGCTGCTTGACAAAATGCCCAATCTGAATGCATGTGTATAACGCTCATTAAAAAACATCAATCGGATGCAACATTCTATTTTGTTAAACAACACATATTGTGGTTTTCACCAAAAAAAAAAGAAGACATTTTTAATTAAAAATCAAAAAACAATCGACGAATCCAAATTTGTTGTACATAGTGGCCAATTATCCGAACTGAACACATTAACACATTCTAAATACGGCGAATTCTCTCTGATAAAATGGGCAAGATTCTCGTAGTATTAATATTATTTTTACCGCATCTGTATATGGTAACAGTTTTAATTGTCGATATTGTCGTAGTGTCGATTAGTCGTACGGCATTATTTGCACTCACTCCCTCCGTGTAGTATGTGCTTATAAGGTGCTGACGGGTCTCCTACTATAAATACATTTATAAATCATTTTCGGCATTCACTGCGCTCGCGACTGTCGTCCAGAATGGGAAGCCGTTGCCAAACTCATCAGTTCAATCCCAGGAACTGTTGCCTGTTTTACCTGTTGCTGCTTGCAACCGTGACCCACGGCATTGAATATACGGTGCCCGATGTGTTTGGTACTATTACGAATGTGGGTTCCAGCATCATCAGTCCAAAGCTATTGCCAACGCCGCAGGGCCTGCTCGAGGGAAGCAAGAATCTTATAGCCGGCTATCCCCTTGAGTATGTCTCTAGCTCCATCAACTATCTGTGTGAGTATCTAAAAGCATACGTAAAATTAAATCTATGACAACCTACTTCCTTATATCGCTTGCACGTTTATCTCCAGGCTCGCAGGCGCTAAGTTCAAACAAGATCAGGTCAAAATTCACACCGGACATTAAACAGATGAATTTTCAGTTGCGTACCCACTGCGGCAAAACTGATTTTCCACTGCTTCAAGCTGAAACTATGTGGCACAGTCCACAATTTGATAAAAATAAAAATGTTGTCATACTTGCTACCGGCTGGACGACCACCATCAATGATACGGATACTATTGAGGAATTTGCCAAGGCCTACAATTGTCGCGGAGATGTTAATTTTGTGGTGAGTTTGTACAAATAAGTAATTATTTGAATGTGAAAAGTTCGTGACTGCCTCATACTCTGTACACACAAATACAGTTTCGGGTACAGGGACATATTTATATATATGTATATGTATATTTATAAGACAAGTGAGAATACTCTAGTCGCATTCGAGGGGCATGCTTAAAGCGACTTTGCTGATGATGCTGATCACAATTCATATTCAATAACAGGCAAACAGAGTAAACATAAAACCAGTATACTCTTATTTCTTTGTGGAACGTAGAGTATTTAAAAGAGGCGTAGTTTTACATAACATTAATGAATCACATAATTCTTAACATGCTTCGAGCAGAATGAAACACAAGACACGGAAATATGTGCATAACAATCTTGGCATACTCTGAACTGAATCCGATGTTTTTTCTGTCTGTATTCACGCAGCTCACGTCGTTTGTGGATTATTTTTACGTCACCGAAATTCTCTGCTCATTCCAAGTGAATACTCATATTCACATTTACATTCACATTTTCATCACGCGCCCAACTGACTTGCATCTCATTTTTGGATATGATTTCATCAGACTATCGTAAAAGTGAAAAATGACTTTCTGAATTCTATAAGAAGAAAGTAAATTCATAAACTATAAAAGTTTTCTTTAATAGTTTTAATTTTGAAAGTTTTCCATAAGCTTAATGTTGCCACTGTGCATCTAATGGCTTTTAATTGATGCATTAGAGTTAAGCGCTTACATTCTTATCAGTTACTTATCAGGGTCGTGCCATTACAAAAATAAATCAATATCAATGAGTGCTTTTGACTTTTGCACTTATATATTATTTAAAACAGCTGAGCAAGATTCAGTCAGGCCTAACCGACTGCAAAATACTCTTATACAAGTGCAAGACCAACTGAAAGCTTCCAAAGGTTCGACATTTGGAAAAGGTTGCCAGCAATTGTAAATTTTGTCAACAGGGACCAGAATTATAACTTAAAATCCAAAATGAAAATAATGAATGAAAGGCTTGAGATACCATACAAATGCTATGACTGCAGCATCTGCTGTCGTGGCAACCCAATCTCAACACTTTTTTGTGACGCAAACATGTAAGAATATATATTCCAAGTTTGATTCCAAGTCTCTAGCTTCAAGGGCATCGTTGATAGTTGCGCTCATACAAACATACTGATAGGCAGCTGGGCGGGTATTGTAAGAATCCAAATACATAAAAACCTTATTATAGTTCTTTTCCACCAGTCATGTATACATAATCAAATTTGGATTTTGGTTGCAGGCTGTGGATGCTGCCAAATACGTGGATACCCTGTACACGTGGTCAGCTTTCAACACGGATGACCTTGGCGAGAGCATTGCACGGGGGCTGGTGAAGTTGTTGGATGTGGTCAGTGTTGAAAAAATACATTTAATCGGTCATAGTCTTGGAGCGCATATTGTGGGTGCGGCTGGTCGCTATCTGCAGATGTATAGCGGGAAAACAGTACCACGCATCACCGGGCTTGATCCGGCCAAGCCGTGCTTCAACGAGGGCGAAGTTCTGTCGGGCTTGCAACGCGGAGATGCACTCTTCGTTGATGTGATACACAGCAATCCGGGTGTGCTTGGAAAACGAGATCCTATGGGCGATGTGGACTTTTATCCGGGCGGTACTGATCCCTTGAAACCTGGCTGCCTGACGGTGCCGTGTGCACACTCTCGCGCCTGGGAATACTTCGCGGAGACAATATATCCAGGCAACGAGCGCAACTTTATGGCCACACGTTGCGGTTCGCTGACGAAGCTGCGCGATGGCCTTTGTCCTGGCCAGCAATTTCCCATGGGCTGGGCCGTGCCGCACACCCTTAAGGGCAGCTACTTCCTCGAAGTCAATGCCAACAAGCCCTATGGCAAGCAGTCATCTGGAGTACGTGCACCACGGCTCGCTAATTGCGGACTCTGCTAAAGGAAACAGAGGCATCATTTTATTTTTTTTGTCCAATGCACTTCAAATTGGAGTTGGATTGTAATATCAAATTTACATTACTTACAAACTAATGCTTAAGATGATATAATACATGGCGATGGATGTTTCGAAACCCAATAGCAATCCGATTATCCGATTGGAAGTTATTACGTATCGACATGCTTAATCCAAATATAAATTCACATACATACACACAATTATATTAAATTAGTAAGCACTCATTTTACCACTGCATTATTACTGCATTTTTTTCTCTTTAGGCTTGTAACGCATTGAAGAAGATGAAGAAGTATATATATATTCTTGATCAGTATCTTACATAGCTCTACAATCGGTCGAAAGTTGAGTTCTTGCATATTCTTACCAAATATATAAGGATATCAATATCAATAAGTTTGCGTGTTATTATACTCACAGCATTTGGACAGAAAATCGTCAACATCGGACTTGTATATCATATTGTTTTTATAGCAATTTATATTTAAATATAGACGTCGACAGGTTGACTCCGGTCTGTAAAAGTATGTATGTTGTCTTCAGAGTGCCTAAGATAGCCTAAGACAGTTCGTCTTGCCTTTACCTGTTACTCGGTTGTTCGCATGACCTGTTCTTGGTCCATAAGTCTTTAAATAAAATTTGCATGTTAAGCTTTGACAATTCAATTAATTTTGGTTTACTATACTTATGCAACAAATATTAAAAAATAAACCGCATGAGTAGAAAAATAATTTACTGACAACTTGTGGCAACCACACAGATTTCAATAAGCATCTAGGCAGCAGACCACAGTGAAGCCCATCAGTTGTGATCTGCTACGAATAATTATTTATTGAATGGGCAAGGCCAACAACAATGAGCTGAGAGAATGTTGGAATACCTTGTGCGCCACACAAGACATATCCTGGTCAAAAGCATTTTCTCAACAACGAGTTATTTGCACTTGAAATGCCCCTTTTTTTTATCAAATGAATCAATTATTATTACTATTATCTACATTCCCTTTCGATGAATTCGATGAGGCGTGTCATACTACAAATCAAAGTTCTCATTTAATACTCAAGAGTTAGCAAACTTAATTTCTTATTCATCAATTTGATGATGAAACAACACTTTCTTAATGTGTTGTGTTAATTAAAATACAGCTAAGTATTTGTAAAAGTTCTTTTTTTTCACTGCAATATATTGTATTCAATACTGAATTGCGCCTAAGAAAGTTGCCCAGATATATAGAAGAACTTTAAACGTTTTTCAAAATTACAGTTTCTTTAGAATCGATAATCTGAGTTCGAAGATATGCACAGCATTAAAAAGAAGTACGTTAACCGTCCAGTAACCAGGTGAACACTAATCTTAGCAAGCAGAACCTTCTCAGCCAACTTAAAGCAAAAGCAAATCTTTTTCACGCCAACTTAAGAAACAATTGCTGAAAGGTTGGCATTATTGATCTTAGTTTCTTAACAAAGACCAACTATTTTTATATGTATTATTTTTCATTAGCGTATAATTAAGTATACTTATTTTACATATGTAGGTACCTAAACAATAACAAGGCTGATATATAAAAAGTTAAGTTGTTATATGCTTACTAGCGGCTGAGACGTGAATTTGAAACGCGTTCGCGTCGACTTAATGGTTACTGTGCAGTAGCTGTTTGGCTGCAGTTGACGGTCCTCTCACCTGGCCAAGCTGTCAGCTTGACAAATGAGTCACCCGTTGCAGGCTTCTGCTGTCTGCCTATTGGGGATTAAGCTTTATCGGCCAAATGTGTTCGTGGTTCGTGGTTCGTGGTTTCCGCCATCCATTAAAATGAACAGCAGTCTGCAGCGAGGCGAGGAAATGATCCATCAACTATGTGAGTTAAATACAATTTGGCAACATAAACTGGCCCCATGGGGCACGAGGCTTGCGATGATCTGTTGCTACTGGCACTTTTGCCAATGACGCGGTCGGTCGTAAAGTGTTGTAAAGTAGTTGACCCTGGTCAAGAATCGGACGCTCAAAGTGGTTTAACAAACTGTAATTACCTCGTTCCTCTTTCAGTATATGCGCAGCTGGTTTGTTTATCAGCTGACCAAGACCAGGCCAGGGCAACCCCCACTTGCTGAGAGTGCGATTTATTTATCGGGTTCTTGGCTTGATGAGCCACTTGGCCTCTCCGTAGGTATTCAAATTGAGATAAATAGCGAATGCTGCGTACGATTTCAGATCATTCAATTGCCGTTCTTCAAAACGCACAGCAATAACACAACAGCCAGGACCTCAACAACCTCCACAGCCAACAAGTTTAGCAGGATGAAACTGTTTATAATACTCAGCGCTCTGATTGCCTGCGGCTCGGCGGGACTCATACGCAGCAGCGGTTGGAGCGGCGGCAATGGCTGGAGCTCGAATCCTTGGGGCAGCAGCGGCGGCGGAGGCTGGAACAGTGGCTGGTCCTCCCAGCCCAAGATTATTAAGGTTATCAAAATTGGTGGTGGCGGGGGCGGCTGGAACAATGGCGGCAGCAGCGGCTGGAACAATGGCGGTTGGAGCAATGGGGGCGGTGGCGGCGGCTGGAACAATGGCGGTGGCTGGAGCAATGGCGGTGGCTGGAGCGATGGCGGCAGTGGCTGGAGTAACGGCGGTGGCTGGTCTGGCCAGAGCCTCGGCAGCAGCGGCTGGTCTGGTGGCAACAATGGCTGGGGCAGCAGCGCCTGGTAATCAGGATCTAAATGGAACTCCACGTTTTAAACACATTATTCGCAATTGATTATTGATCTTTGAGTTTATATTACATATGTATATAAGAGCGTTTTTTTTTTTCTTGTAATCTTTTTAAACAAATATAAATTGCAAATCGTAACTTAAGCAACGAATCGCACGATTTCTGTTTGAATGCATCGCCGAATTGCTGCCAGATGATTGACGAGCATTTTTTAGCCACGATCAGTTTGCCATTTTTCATTTCATAGTCGAGTGCAATTAAAAACAACTGAGTGCAACTATAAACATAGATGAAACGTCTTGAATTTGTACCCCTTCCAGCGACGTCTCTATCTTCATCTGCATTTCTAGCTGCAGCATTGATTGCATCTTTGTCTAGCTGGGAACTAAAACCAGATCGACACAGAGAACAAATATAGGGGAAGAGAATGATGGGGGCAGCACTTGGCCGAACTTGACGCTGCTTTGTATTCTCGTTGATCTCGAAATTCACATTAATGCATGTTTGAGTTATGGCCCATAACAATTAAAATGCTAAATTAACGATGTAATTATTGCTATTACTTTGTACATTCACAAAGCTCGTGGAGTGTTCGTGGCTCATCATCTCAAACTGCTTTGAAGTGGCACAGTGGCACCAGATGCGCCAACCACTTGATCAATTTAAATGCCAAATTAGTTGTCTTTCATTAAATAAAATCAAATTCAATCAGCTTTTTAAAATCTTGCGTGATGTGTTTTCAAGTCTAAATTGCCAGAATAGAGTAATTGCGAAACGATCTTCAAAAGTACGTGACACTTTCTTAATGCATTTTATTGCAAATGCCGAAGTTGCCTTACTTAAAAAGCAGTTTTCCGATACGGCTTTAGCTGGGTATGTAGTTTTATAATTTGGTATAAGACGAAAGATTTGCGCCCAGTGTGCAGCATAGTTCTTGCTTGTTCGGTTGAGGTCGTCTTGTGGACTTGGCTGTGGGGTTATTTGTTGATTTTGGGGGCTGCCACGCTGCAGCGATTCAGCAATGCAGCACGCATTCAATGCAACCACACTGACAGCGACACCAGCAATTGGACACGTTGAGGCAATGTATGGTAAGTAATTCACTTGAGCACACAACTCATTTGTTTGGTTGTGAGTTTTGAGTTTTGAGTTTTTAGTTTTTTGCGTTTGGCTTTTGCGCCATTGCGTTTTTATTATTGTTTGTGTTTGTGTTTGTGTGTTTGGGTTTGCACAACAATTGACATTGAACTAGTGTGTTTGAGTCGTGAACCACACACATTTAACTAGCACTAGCATTGCATGCAAATACCGAAAAAACAAAAACGAATCAAATTAATTATGCAAAAGGGGGAAAAAATATATATATGAAAAATTACAGAAATTAAATTGTAAACAGTCAGACAAATTGTGAGGCGCTTGAAAAAAAGTGTTGCTGCAAAATACTTGTAATTAATGACATCGCTATGGCTCAGCAGTTTACAAGTTTACAAGTGCTTAGAACTTTGTTGGCGGATTCGATGGCGTATGCGCGATATTCCCAGCATAAACGTTGCGTATGCTCCGCGCGTGTGTTGCACACCTCTGCCAATTCAGCCAATTCTCTCTGCGTTCTACGTAGACTTTTGGGGGAGCGCTACTGGGAACGGCGTTGCCCCCGCTCAGAATGCACATTGCTTTTAGTTGCTTCAGTTGCATGCCTAATCGATTTGGTGTTTGGGAGCACCATGACTCAGCTGGAGTGTGTCTATGGCGACTGTTAGGCAACCGCTATAAAAGCGCAACGCTGCGCCTGGTAATGGCATCAGTGGAGCTAAGGTTTTAACTGCGTCAACAATTAAACGTCAACAGTCAACAGTCAACAGTTTAGCAGGAGTTCATTGAGTAATCAAAGGAATCTACAGTTCAACATGCGCTACGCTTTCCTCGTTGCCTTCCTGTGCGTTTTCATGTTCGCCATTGCCTCGGCTGGATTGCTAGGCGGTGGTAGTGGCGGCGGATATGGCGGCGGCGGCGGCGGTGGATATGGTGGTGGTGGTGGACATGGCGGCGGTGCTGGAGGCGGTAAGGGAGGCGGCCATGGAGGCTGGCAGAAGGGCGGCGGCGGCGGCGGCGGAGGTGGTGGCGGAGGCGGCTGGCAAAAGGGTGGCGGCGGCGGCGGTGGATACGGTGGTGGTGGCGGCAGATCCTTGGCCGGTAATCGCGGAAGCTCCGCTTCCTGGCAAGGCAGCAACGGCGGCGGTGGCAAGCATGGCGGCGGAGGCGGAGGCGGAGGCTATGGTGGTGGCGGCGGTGGCGGTGGCAAGCATGGCGGTGGCAAACACGGTGGAGGTGGCTGGTAAGCCTCCCATCTAAGCCACACACAACGTAAGCTGCAAGACGATGCGAAACATAAATACTCCGGCTGCTCCTCCGGTTGAAATGTATTCAACGGCATAAACATAGAACTAGAGGCATCTCCCACAAGTGCTGCACCATTTTTTTTTTTGCTAACATTACTAGTTTCTCTCAAAGTTTCTCAAGTCTTTTCTTTTCCTCTACTGTATAATTTTACTAATAAAAATACGTTTATTTTGCTAAATATGATCATGTGTTGTCTATACTTTTAATAACTCTTCGTTAAATACTCGTCAGCACTAGTGTTTCTCCATTAAAAATAGATTTTTATGAATTCAACTGCAGAACGAGGTATTTAAGAATAATTTATTTGCAGTCTTAAATACAGCAGCTTCTTAAAGACAAATCACTCGATTCTATATTGCATTGAAATATGTCATAAGATATGAATTGAAGCAACCGTAGCCTCGAAACATCTTCTCTAATAATTTTATCGCAAGTGCTTAAGGTTTTTGTTCGTTGTGTTCAAGCTATGACTCATTTTTGTAGTTAGCCTGAAGACGATGAAAAACTTAAGCTCTCAAATAACTCAAGTTAACTCAAGCTACGTTCTCATAGACAAGCTAAATTTGCTTACATTCCGTGTAGAGAGCTAAATTTGCAAATTAAAATACTGTGTTCTCACATAAATAAGAACATAATAAGAGATTGTGATCAAACTGATAAGCGAAAATTATTTCTAGCCATAATTGTGCCACAGCTGGCATTTCTATACTTTGATAAGCTGAATACATTGAAAATGGGTGAAATGATTATAATGGTTTTGTGCAATTTTTTGTACCAGGCAGAAGGAAGCATCTCCCACAAGTAAATATATTCTTGATCAAGATCAACGGACGAGTGGATATAGCTACGTCTGTCTGTCCGTCCGTCCCTCTGTCCGTCCGATGATTTCAGTTCGGGCTGCGAATATTTACTTGATTTGATTGCCCACATTAACTTGATTTGATTGGGAAGTTGGCAGCCTTGACATTGTGGTTCAAGGTTTACGATTGCCTAAGTTTGAACAATTCAGCTGTAGTAGCTTTCTTTGAGATTTCTAGGACCGTTCCTAGGATTGCTGATCCCCACAAATGTACACTGTTTTATTTACATTTTCGTAAATGTTTATTAGCAAATTAAAAAAAAAAACAAAAAAAATGTATTTTTAAAGCATTAAAGATAGTTCTTTTTTTGTTGTTATGTACAGGTGCAGATCCTTTTAAATGTCGCCTCAATGGTCCGTTTTCAACAAGGTTTTACCAGCTCCAGGCGCCACTCGAACCGCCGGAAGACCAACCGCCGCCGCCTCCGCCGCTCTTCCAGCCACCTCCACCACCGCCGCTCTTCCAGCCACCTCCACCGCCGCCGCCACTCTTCCATCCACCTCCACCGCCGCCGCCACTCTTCCATCCACCTCCACCTCCTCCTCCTGACTTCCAGCCACCTCCACCACCGCCTGACCTCCAGCCGCTGCTCAGACCAGACAGTGCTTGAGATTTCCAGCTGGAGAGGCCAGACAATGCGCTAGACCAACCACCGCCGCCGCCGCCAGAGCTCAATTTCCAGCCACCACCGCCGCCACCGCCGCTGGGCCAACCACCACCGCCGCCGCCTGAAGACCAACCACCGCCGCCGCTAGAAGGCCAAGAACTGATGCTTATCTTGCCGGGCCAAGCAGAGGAACTGCCACCCGATGACCAGCCGCCACCACCACCGCTTTTCCAGCCGCCACCGCCACCGCCACCACCTGACCAACCGGAGGAGCCACCACCACCGCCACCACTCCATCCATGCGGCTTGGCAAAGGCGCATACGCTCAGTGCCGCCAGAAGGCCGAACAGAACCAGGCGACGGATCGATTGCATCTTTGTCTTGCTGTTGTTGCTGTTGTTGCTGCTGTTGCTGTTGCTGCTGCTGTTGCTGTTGCTGCTGCTATGCACTAACTAATTTTGAACTGGGTGCACTCTCAGCTATTTATACAGGCAGCGTGTGCTGCGCATCTAAGATTCTAGCCGTTGTCGCACCGGTCGTCGCTGCAGATGCAGTTACCATCGTCGACGTTGACGTCAACGCCGTTGCTGCTGTCGGCGTCGCTGTCGTGTAATCAGTTGTAATTGCCAAATCTGCTTAGAGGCAGTCCGACTCGTTGCGATCTCGGCTCAGTTGGTTTGGCCCTCATTATGCCAACTTTCAATTTCGTACGCTTTGTGGCCGTCCATTGTTGGTAACGCCTCCTACCAGCCCCTCCCGACCCACTTCCAACAGACTGCTAAGTTCCAGGCGCCTGCACACCTGACGCAGCCGTCTCAACGGCCCAGACTTGAGATTCTTTTGGCATTCGGCTGATTCTGACACAATCCAACAGTTTCAGGCCCTGCCACAGCCACAGCCAAAGCCACAGTTGCTGTCGCTGTCGCACCACATCGTGAGCATCGATTTATTGGCTCGCCATTTTTATGTAACAACTTTTTGGGGGCAAAGCAATTGACTAGCGGCGCATACTTTATGGCAACCATTACCCTACTCAGTTAACTCTTGGGCCCATAACCAATTAGGTTTCGCGTCTACGCGGCTGCACACGTGTCGCCGGCTACCGTGAAAAAGCCCAAGCCCAACTGCAGTTGTCCAACCGTTCGTGTTGGGCACTTTTCGCCAATCGGGTCAGCAGCCAATCGGTCCGTCTGTCAAAAAATCAATGCACTTTAATATTGGTTATGCAAGCCAACGACACGGTTTTCAAACAATGCTTAAAGCTTGGATTGATCTGTACCACAGAAATGCTTACCCATATATCTAGAACGAGTGTGCTCTAGTAACAAATACCATGCAGTTCATCAAGTTTTTAGAGTGAACTTCTTGAAGACTCAAATGCTGTTTAGTGTTATAAAATGATGTTTATAACATTAGCTTCGCCTGTTTTTTTTTCGCAATTTTTTTTAGGGTATGCGATAGCTGAGATATAGCATAAGAAGCAGTCATGAAAACTGGTAGCAAAGATCGTTGATTGGTGTCCCCTCCCCCACTTGATCCGGCCACAAGCGCTGAGCAGCCAAACAAATAGACAACAGAAATTCATGCATTTGAACCTGTTGACTTTTAGCTGGTATGCTTTTGTTGGAAACTTGCCAATTTTCATGGGCGGCATTAAATCAAAATACGGTCTTTGTGCCATCGATTCGTTCGGCAACTCTGAATGGTCGGTGATCAATCAATTGGCACAAAAAGTGACTCGCTGCAAATTCCGTAATAGAGCTGCAACTGTTGGGCGGCTCTATTGCAGCAATATGGCTCAGACACCACGCCGAGTGTAAAATGTAAGCCATGCCAAATTGATTTATCTCTGTTAGCCAATTTCGGCGGGCGATCTTCGCGGCGTTCTATAAGTGATGCATTAGAGCCAAATTGCAGTCGAACCCAATTAAGTGGAACCAATGCAAAGTCGCTGTATTTAGTGTCTATGAGCTCATCACGACGGATAGCAGGAAACACATTATTAACTTGTTTTTAGCTGGCGATGCTTCATTTAAGAGCAGGGTGTTAAACCAGAATCAGAATCGGAATTGAAACCGCATGTCTACCGGTTTTAATTCAGAATCGGAATCGGATTCAGAACCTAAATTCAAAATTTGGTTAAAGGCCAAATACCGGAACTGATATTATTTGTCCCGAAGATACCGCATCGGAACCCCAAACATCATAGCGTGTCTGTGCTTACGCTTGAAGACCTCAATCCACCTGTTGACATGTTAATTTCATTAAACATTTAAAGAAATCACCCGAGCTATAGATATATATCTCCGATGTTGATCATTTTATTATTTGCCACCTGAAACCAGCTGGTATTATACTGATATTTGAGAGTTACGTCCAACAGAACTCAATACCAATGCCGTTAAGAAGAATTTGCAAAAATATTGGAAGCTTTACCGGAATTTATATAATTTAAGTACCAGAATCAGAATCGCAACCAAAATTCGTTTCGGTTTGAAACATTTGATTTAAATTCATTAATTTCAATTGGAATTTTCTGTTTATATTTTGCATTTATTTGCAGCTTAAAACTAACCAAAAAAAATTATTAAAAATAATTGAAAAACATTCAGTTAAAAAAAAACTTAAATGTAGTTGAACAACATTTAAATTGCTAGCTTTTTGGCTCCCTGTTTGAACTTGGCTTGAAGGCTTTTACTGGATAGCGGTCATTTATTTACCAGCCCTGGTTCCAGCCGCCGGAAGAGTAACCACCTTGGGAACCACCATAGCCGCCAGAGGAGTAACCGCCGCCATAATCACCACCATAGCCGCCCGAACCCCCCTGGTTGACGACTTTGACAATGATCACCTTAGAGGGCGCTGAGTGGCCGCCGGAATAGCCACCAGAATGGCCTCCTGAGTAGCCGCCCGAATATCCGCCAGAATGGCCGCCTGAGTAACCTCCGGAGTAGCCACCGGATTGTCCACCAGAGTAGCCACCGCCGCCGTATCCGCCGCCACCACCACCTCCCAGCTTGCCACCGAGTCCACCGCCAAGTCCTCCAAGTCCGCCACCGCCAAGTCCTCCACCGCCGCCAAGTCCACCCAATTTGCTTTGCAGAAGCTGAATAATGCCGCCGGCACCACCGCCACCACCGCCGCCACCACCGCCGCCGCCACCAAGAAGACTTTCAAAAGATGCCTGACTGCCGGCCAGCAGCGCAACGAGGATAACAAAGATGCAGGTAAATGGTTTCATCTTTCAATATATTTGGATCTCGATCACGGTTTTGATTTCGATGATGCCCAAGACAAGCGGAAGCGTTGACTAATTCTACAGCAGTGAATTCAACGCTCATTTATACCAAAAAAGTTGTCGAAACCAATACTCGAATTTACGAATATCGAATAGCGTAAATAACACAAAAGCATCAATGGCAGCTTCAGCATAGACATTAGCCTAACTTTTGAATTGAAGATAAAGCACGTGCTCTTAGTAGAGATGGTGTTTTTCAACAACAAATTGGCCGAGTTAACACAATGTGCACCACATGAATGAAAACCAAATTTGTTTTATTTTGTAATGCTCGTATTGTAGATTAAAATATAAGGGTATTCAATTGATGTGTATTTAGTCATGAAGGAAATGAGCATTTTTACTCAAAATAATATACAATTAATTGAATCAATGTTTTTTCTTTCTGCTGTTTTTTTTTTTTAATTTAGTATCGCGTTAACGTATTGTATTGTTTTCCTCGTGAGCGCGCTTATGCCAGACCAGAAAACACGAAAAGTCTTCACCTCTGGCCCAATGCTTTGACAATTTGTTGCTTTTGATCGTTTAAGCAATTAAAAGTATTAAAAATACACATTTTCATATTTGTATGTGCTACGATGTTGAAGATTTGTATTTGCTTTTGCCTAGCTAGCCGACGGGCCTTTTGTTTGCTGATTGTCGCCGATAACTAAGTATGCAAATCTTTACGCATGCGCGACTTAGTCTTGGGCATTGTTAATGCCCTGTAAACTAAAATGTGTGAAATAAGAGTATACTAAATTATATTTACTCATTATCAAATCTGGTATGCGATTGTATACAAATAAGTGTTCAATTAACTTCCAGGCTCTCATATAGGAACATTTAACAAAGTTTCTTTTTCTTGCCAGTTGTGCCAGTTGTATTCAAACTATTTTAGAACTATCGAATAGGAAACACACGAGTTCAAAGTTTGTAAAGTAACCAAGTAACTTTTGTCAAAAGTGGAGAGCCAAGAGTAGAGTTTTCATTAATAAGGTATGTGAGCCACTCCAGGGTATCGACTAGTTGAGCATAATCACCTTGCTCGTTGTGGTCAAGCCTTCGTTGACAACGCTGCTCGTCGATTCATTTGCCAACAAGTCAAACAAATTAACGGCGTTTGATCACATAAAAAGATAGACAAAAAAAAAACACCATCCTCAATGGATCAACAGTTTGTCAAACAGTCGACCACATCGCGAGCTTGCCCAACTGGTAAATGATATTTTGACAGATAGTCTTCAAGTAGCTGCTCAGGTGTTCTGCTCATTTGGAGTTCAAGGCGTCCCACGATAAGCGTGTTAAGTGGCCGGCACAGTTGGCAAAGAGGTAAACTGTAACGCGGAATCGGTCAATCAGGAAGCTAGTTTCCAAGTCGCTTCAATTGGCAACATAAGGCTTAGCCTAGTATCTAAACGTTCCCATCAACATCATCGCCTATAAATAGTGGCTATCTAGAACCGGTTCTTCGCCATGGCCCATGTTTTGGCACATATTTGCATTGGCAATAGACTGGGCTGTAGGCTATACAAACATATATTGGAACATACTAGGCATATTCTATATACATGTGAACACACCCATACATTTACACATATATGTATGTTTGTAGTTATTGGTACTAAGAAAATACAAATAATACTTTGGTTAGAACTAGCAAACTTCCAAAGTTCAATGCACTATGGCCTAATCAAAATTTATGCTAAGCTCGAATCCTCGAATCGAAATTATTCGCTGGCGATTTTCATTAGCACACTCCGAGTTTGGTTAACTAAAACATACATACATATGTATGTATATATTCTTTAGCTATAAATTCATTATCTATATAGCAAAAATAATGTTATGATTTGGATAATTATTCAATTTAGACTTTTATAAGGTCAGCCATGTTTGAATATTTCATAATTGTTCCTTTATATTAAAATTATAAAACACTTTAATATTTATTAATCGAACATTATTTTGTTGTCTTTATTTAAGTTATTTTAGCAAATTGGAATCGACAAAATTAAGAATGAATAAATAAGTGAATTTTGTGGCATAAAATATGATTAAAACTTTTGAAAAAAAATGATTATAGCAGTTATACGAAATTATGCATAAAATATTACTCATATATTTAGAGGTACAACAATTTGAAACTGCTGAAATTCTTGCAACCCGTGTTTAACGATCTACTTATGCGGTCACCATTGTATATTTTTACTTTTTTTTCCAAATCTTTTGATTTGAATTGTGGAAGCGTGCAGCACTATTCTTAACCATTTTTGCGGCCTCACGCTCCCGTCGCACCAAAGTGAAAATATAGTCTAAATAACACATCATGTGCCTTTGTTTTTCAGCATGTTGATTAGATCGAGATACAAATGTTTAGATACATTCTTTGGGTTAGCAGGTAACACGTTCTGCTACAATAGAAGAATATTCATTACTGCTACGACAGATGTAATAAAAGATGTTTCCCATCGCATTGCCATGAAATTAAAATATTTAATTATTTACCAACGCTAATGAAATTACAAGTTTAGTGGAAGAAGTGAATGTAAAGTTGCTTATTATTTTTGTTTTTTGTGGTGTCATCTTTATAACCATAAATATGCGAGTGCGGCTTATGGTTTCTAAAATGTATATGGTACTATTTGTAAACACTATATTCTATAAAGTTCCATATTTCTTGTTCATGAAAATATCATGTCCGAATTTTAAGTTTGACTGTCGTATTTTTTTAATTCAAGCTGATTTGCTTTTAGGAAATATCTTTCCATTATAATAAACTCTTATTATTAGACTAATGTCTTCAACATATTGAGCGAACCTCGTATGTACTGAGCATTGTCATTGTAGGATTGCAGTATTCTTGACGCTCATAAACTATAGCTGGCATAAAGTTATAATTATACTTAATGCAGCCTTGCTTAATGTGGCATGGGAACAGAGAGCATACGTATATGCATAAATAAGTTGGTGTGTTTGAATGCACGTATGTACATATGTATATAAATGGAATTGATTTGCATAAGCGGCTGCAGTTGCTGACTTTCCGCAGCAATTAGCAGTACACATAAATAATCATCTATATATGTAAATATATACCGTGATACATGCTTATGTATATCTTTGCCTTTTTGTAAGTAGTTAGAGATGTCTTATACATTTTAGCAAACTGAGCTCAGCAGTTAATTAATGAGACTGCAACACGTATAAATTGAAATAGATAAAGGTAGCCGGTGCAAACATAAAAATGGATATTTAATGCGAGATTAATTCACCACATTAATCCCCCTCAAAGACAATTACAGAAACATATTGTATATTCACATTCAATTATTATACCATTGCCGTGCAATGTAATGTATAAAATAGCTATATATATATATATATATATATATATATAACATAAAAATATAATATATATTTAAGGCCCCAATTACAGATCTTGAGACACTAAATTGAAATATGGACAGACATATCAACATATAACGTTATTTACCAAATATTTATAATTTATCTTTAATTGTTCATTCTTACTTTGAGAAAACTGGAAACAATTTACTAGAAGAATTTTTCTTTAATCTTCACATATTTCCCGTGACAAAACTTTTCTAAGAAATTTAAATTAGAAAATTTTTGTTTATGGCATGTGTTCTTGATTGTAGATTGAAGATTGGACTTAGAGGTGACAACATTCTTATTTATAATCGCAGTCTCTCAAGCTCTGTTCGTATCAGGCGTGAATTAGTTGGTTGCTTCACAGAGTTACGAAATAATTGGTCTTCACTCAATGCCACAATGTAAAGTTTACTCTATGCTTAACGCAGACATGCAATACGGTAAATATTTACTAGATGGCAATCCAGTTGAACACATCCAAACATACAAAATTCAAATACACAAAACACATTCAAAATCGTTAACAATTTTGATTTGTTTGTGTAATTGAATTGATCTCAGGCACAAAATGTAAAAACTACACAACTGCTAACGGCTTGGCCAAGGTTCTGAGCACGTCTCATGCAAGACACATCGACGCCAAAGCAGACGAGCCACAAAACGAAATCCACAAAGCAAAATCCACACATACTCACACAACTGATTTCAATAGCAAGCAAATACAAAAAATAAATCAGACAAAGGCAAACGGCGGAAGCTAAAAATCAAAGCGCAAAGATAAATTAGCGCACACGTGGAGTGAGGGGGGCAATAAATTAACAGCACGAGAAATATCGAAAAAGACTAACCACAACAACAAAAGCAGTTAACAATTGCGAATTGCATTTAATTGTGGTTAAATTTTGCAAGCAAATAGCTTCGGTGCCTGATGTGCAGCCAGTTAATCAGCCTTATCCTTTATGTTCCATTGTCTTGTGTCACTGAGCTGTCCAACCGGTCAGCCAGCTTCTCTCATCTGGCTGTGCATACCGTTGGGCAGCCAAGAGTAATCACTCAACTTTCGCTATTCACAGCCAAAACAGTGCTCTGACATTGAACTTCATTAACCCTTGCCTGAATGCGATACAAATCTCACGAGAGATGGTTAAGCAAACAGGTTTTACCTTGAGCGAAAGACTTCATTTCAGCAACGAACTTGCCGGCACTCTCACTAGCGCCCTCTATAGCTCAAGTCAGTGAAGACCAGTAAGCTGCAACATGGGCGCCATCTGTGGTCAGTAATTTTCATAACGAAGCGAATAGTGAATGACTTCGGTAACGAATTTCTATCGGAAGGTGATTCTAATAAAAAAAGGACACCTGTAAACTGTTCAATGTTCTAATCAACAGTTTAGTCATGTAATAGCGTGTCGACGCGCTTAGCTAGGATGCTAGAGATGCCAACCTTGTTGCACACTGCCGCGCTCTAGCGTTCAAGCCCGACAAACAAAAAGCTTTTTCTTGACTTTAAGCTTTACTACAATCGAATATCAACTATGTGGCAACACTATAAGAACATAAATGCATTTTCCGTTTGATTTAGTTACTTATTTATTCAGTTATTTGTATTCAATTTCTTGCGAACAAAACAATTTTAATCGTTCAACCAACCAGCACCACCATGTGAGCCGCCGCCACCAGATGAGCCGGATCCATGTGTCACAGAATAATCGAATGCGGCCGGATTGCCCCATGCGTTGCCACCGCCGCCTCCAGCGCCATAGCCGCCAGAACCAGCACCAGCTCCTTGCCAGCCGCCAGCACCGCTTCCACCAGCTCCTGCTCCTTGCCAGCCACCACCACCGCCAGCTCCGCCACCATAGCCTCCAGCGCTACCACCAGCTCCTGCTCCTTGCCAGCCACCACCACCGCCAGCTCCGCCACCATAGCCTCCAGCGCTACCACCAGCTCCTGCTCCTTGCCAGCCGCCAGCACCACCTCCACCGCCATAGCCTCCAGCGCCACCACCACCGCCTGCTCCCTTCCAGCCGCCAGCACCACCTCCTCCACCTCCTCCACCGCCATAGCCGCCGCGTCCACCACCTCCGCCAGTACTACCAATGTGCACCTTTGTTTTACCGTGACCCTGTGACACATGCGAGGTGAGACCAGCGCCATTTCTGAAACCACCGCCGCCGCCACCATGGCCGCCACCATAGCCACCACCGCCGCCGCCACCATGGCCGCCACCACCGCCATGTCCTCCTCCTGGCAGATAGCCACCACCACCGCCGCCACGCTGTCCAGCGTTAGCCAGCGCCAAGGTGGCCAGCAAGCAGACAAATACCTGAAAATGTCAAAGTTAGTTGGCACAGCAGAATATCCTTTTCCACATCCTTTTACCTTCATGTTGAGAATGGGATTAGTTGGTTGAACTAGTTTTAGTAGTTGTTGTTATCGTAGCTCTCGGGTTGCTGCTCCAAAAGCTTGTGATACTTCTTGCCTGCCACGCAGCACAATTTATAGCTGAAAAGTCTGTTCGATTTAGCTAATGATCAAACATCATAAAAGAAGAAACGAAAATCAAAAGGGAAAAAAAGTAAACTTGAAACATAAGTTTTATAGTTGTAGTGTCGAAAATTGAATAGCATTGCAGATATGTATAATATTCTAAGTTCATCCAAACGACGTCACAATACCGTTTTTAAATTTTGAAAGTTTGTTGTGAAATTTAGACAACAAGTTTGCAAGTCTGTGTGTAATTATTGGCGTGCCCAAGATACTCAATATTTCTTATTATACTCGCATGGTAGAAGAGTATATGGGTTTTGTGCAATGTCCGTCAACTTTTTTCGATGCCCTTGAAGCTAGCGACTTTAAACTTAAAATATATATTCGTCTATGCCCGGGTCACATAAAGCGCTAAAACTTGATTATACGGCTGGAAAACCGACAAGTTCGATTATCGCAAATTAATAAAAGTAAAAAGTTCCCACAATTTTAAGTTTCGAGTCACCAGATGTTGGCCGCTGGTAGCCTTATTCAAAGAGCGTCATATGTATTTGCGGTAAGAAAGAGGTAGACTACCAGGACAATCATCTGAAGAAGAAATTTCTGGTCGCGTCCACTTTCGACTCCTATAAGTTGCTGAAAACGTTATCGCACACAGTTTTAGAGATAGAGTCATCAGATCTAAAACTTAGGTGGGATGGCAGTGGGTGGCCGTGCCACGACCATGGCGTACCTTAATGACAGCCATTCTTAGCACACATGTTGTCAGTTCCCATAAAGCAATATAATAAAGTAGTTAAATCTTAATAATATTTGCATATCGGAGCCTTTAATTAGCTGGATTGGTCAACATATCCTTTCTTACAAAAATTCTTTTCTTACAGCAACTAAATTTTCAATCGATATGCTATATATTTGCAACATTTCAGGTGCATAACATATTTGTTGGATTGGTTGAGTTATCATCAAAAACAAACAATTCAATTAATCTTAAGTCTAATCAATATAGCTTCAAACGGAAAGACATTCGACAGACTTTAAGTCTGCCCTCATCATCACTAACGGTTTGGAGATAAACATCGATTCTATACTTATGTGGTCGTAGATGTGTCCAGCTTCGTCAAGACATTGGGGCTATCTGGCACTAGTAATCTGGTATCCATAAAGCACATCCATCGTCAAGCGATTGCACTGAATTTTCGGATAACGTCCACTCCCTCTTCAAAAACGGTAAAATCCTATATCTTCACTAATTTAAGAGCTTATGTTATCAAACTTGAAAGGGAGATTACTAAGAACCTCCTTCAAATTTCGGTATTTCTTTGCTACACCCACCCTGTTCTGTGACACCTGTTATCAGACGTCCGACTGCAACGTTCGAACTTGTTTTTGTTTCCTTTTTGCCTTAAAGCCATGCAGCAATATATATATATATATATATATATATATATATATATATATATATATATGTGTGTCATAAATGCACTTTCAGCGTCCAACATAAATTGCATCAGTTTCATTTAAGCAATCATTTATTCGTTTATTTGCATTCAATTCAGTTGAACAATATATTTTTAATCGTTCCACCAACCAGCACCACCGCCAGAACCGCCGCCAGCAGATGAACCGGAACCGGCGCCATGATTCACAGAATATTCGAATGCGGCCGGGTTACCCCAGGCATTGCCACCACCACCACCAGCTCCGCCACCATAGCCTCCAGCTCCTGCTCCTTGCCAGCCGCCACCACCGCCGCGTCCACCTCCAGCTCCGGCTCCTTGCCAGCCGCCACCACCGCCGCGTCCACCACCAGCTCCTGCTCCTTGCCAGCCACCACCACCGCCAGCTCCGCCACCATAGCCTCCAGCGCTACCACCAGCTCCTGCTCCTTGCCAGCCTCCAGCACCACCTCCACCACCGCCATAGCCGCCGCGTCCACCACCACCACCTGCTCCCTTCCAGCCGCCAGCACCACCTCCTCCACCGCCATAGCCGCCGCGTCCACCACCTCCGCCAGCACCACCAATGTGCACCTTTGTGTTACCGTAACCCTGTGACACATGCGAGGTGAGACCAGCGCCATTTCTGAAACCACCGCCGCCGCCACCATGGCCGCCACCATGGCCGCCACCATAGCCACCACCGCCGCCGCCACCATGGCCGCCACCACCGCCATGTCCTCCTCCTGGCAGATAGCCACCACCACCGCCGCCACGCTGTCCAGCGTTAGCCAGCGCCAAGGTGGCCAGCAAGCAGACAAATACCTGAAAATGTCAAAGTTAGTTGGCACAGCAGAATATCCTTTTCCACATCCTTTTACCTTCATGTTGAGAATGGGATTAGTTGGTTGAACTAGTTTTAGTAGTTGTTGTTATCGTAGCTCTCAGGTTGCTGCTCCAAAAGCTTGTGATGCTTCTTGCCTGCCACGCAGCACAATTTATAGCTGAAAATTCCCTTCGATTTTGTTAATTATCTTCAAGTTCTGTGGCAAACATCACAAAACAAAAGCAAACAAAAACAATACACATAATTAAAAAATAAAACTAATTTTAGAACTTTTAACTAAAAACTGAAACGAAAAGTAAGTTTTATTGTTGTAGTGTCGAAGATTGAATAGCATTGCAGACATGTATAATATTCTAGGTTCATCCAAACGATGTCACAACAACTTTGCAGAAGGTATTATAATTTTGTTGTGAATTTTGTAATGTGTTAATGGAGAAGACTTCGACCCTTGAAGTAAGTATATATTCTTGATCTGCATTAATGAAAGAGTCGCATAACCATATTCTGTTGGTCTGAACTAATAACAAAATATATCCGTCTAATTGCTGCATTGGATCGAATCACTATATCACAGAGATGTCGAAAGATACATGTTTGCTTACTAACAATAACAAAAACCAATCTTATTCAATTGTTGCTAGCGATGTTGAGGATTATAATTAGCAGATGGAGATTACAATTTGGTCAAGATATGTTATACTTGCAACTATTTAATAAGCGACTTCTAAATATGTTGTTATGGATCTGGAAATAAACCTACTATATCTATGCGCAGATGTCTTCGTCGATGGGACAAGTTGAACGACGAATTTAAAATACTCCCCAAAAGGGCATTAATATTCTTTGGCTTTGCTTTGTGCTGTTGCTCATCGTTCAATTCTAGAATAGCGCCTGCCATTTCCGAGTTGCTTCGCTCCGTGGGTTGCCTTTAATTAAAAATTCGAAGTCAATTTTAATGAAGAAAAAAAAAGAAGAAACTAATTGATTACTGGTTAGAAGACAGTAATTATACGGCAATTTGCCTGCGGCACACTTTGCGTAATGTGGCGCTCTGCTTAGCTTAAAAGCGACACCGAGTGGACGCACTGCGTCCAGTTGATGTGCTGACAGCGTGCCCAAAGTTCCGGCTTCAGATATGCGCATTTCGCAAATGCCGCGTGGGTCGAAGGCAAATAACAGCTGCAAAAAGTGCAGTTTTTACCGTTTTCATTGTTTTTGTTTTTTATTTTTTTTTGGTTTGTTTTGTTGTTGCCGTTTTTTTGAAAGTGAGCTCATCGCAAAAGCGCCAACAGCTTTAATTATGCAATGAAATTGCATAATGGTTTGCTAAACTTTCTGAAAATTATAGAAAGGAAACGACAACGCCAACAACTGCAATTGCAGTTAATGTTGCAGCTAAGTTCCACAAATCTCTACCTTGGGAATCCAACACCAACCATGATCATAGTCCTAACATATAAGTGCCTGCATAATTATCTTGATCTGGTCCCTATCTGGAGAATGTCGTGGGTGGAGAACCTATTCGTAGCGTTCATCTGGACATGTCGACATCGTACTAATGAAAAAAAAACTTTTGTTTGTCATATGCTGCCTATTTAACTTATAATCAGCAACAATACCGTTCAGAATAATATTTTCCGAATTTTGTTCCATATCTTTAAATTAGGATATTAGTTTATTGGGTCAAGGGCTCTCGTTAACCTTCGTAGGCGTACATTCCCCAAGGGAATTAACGGCTTCCAATGCTCTTTTCTCTCAGGATTAAACTATAATTACAAATCGGCAAAATACATTCTACTTATTGCTTTACTCGTTCGTGTCTACATAGAGCCAAGTATTTATGATTTCAGGTCACGCCGACTTTAGAGATATCTAAAAGCCGATATCTCCTAAAAAGTTGTAAGGAAGTTTATTAATGGACGGCAAAATGTTCTCGGCCCCAAAAAGGGCGAAAAACAGTATCTTACACAGTTTTAGAGCTACAGTCGAAAAACCTTGTTCGCTGTCTGAACTATGCCCTAAACAACTATTACTACACCACTGCCACCTTCGCAAATAATATCGTTTCAGCTGTGTTCAGCTGGTATTAGCTGTTATCAAAGAGCCATTTATATATATATATAAATATATTTCCGAGCAATCGGAATGCAAGCGCTTGGCACTTGAGCATAGCGAAAAGCTCGTAGCTCGGAGATAAAGGTTGAATTGGGTGCTCGCATACAAAACATACCACTCGCCACTTTCTTCAGCTCTCAAATGTGAGAGAAAGAGTCTTACACACTCTCTCTCTCTCTCTCTCTCTCTGTCTGTCACACTCTCTTTCTCTGCCACAGACAAACGCTGTTGACTGCAGCTGGCAGGTAATTGTCTACTGCTGGTAGGCATATGGATAGCCGGCTGTGGGCGCTCTTTCTTTTTCTCATTATCTTTCTCTCTGTGAGTGCTCTCTCTCTTGCCGGTGCCAGCGACAGATTTAACTGTCTGCCTAGGCGGGCTTCATTGGTGCTGCAGCAGATTTGGCCAAATCATTCCGTTGGGAAGTTGTAACTGGGAAACGTGTTCAACGGATTCAACACGCAGCTCCATCGTCGCGTCTTCGTCGTTGTCGTTGTCGCGCCTCGAGCTGCTGCAAGCGCGCGCATTTCGTGTTCGTTAGTTGTCCATTTGACTTATTGCCTTTGCGTTTGTGCAACTAATACAAAAAATTATAAAAAATTTATAAAAAAGATACACACGAGGAGTCCTTGACCCTAAGACGTTGCAAGCGGCCGTATTATTTGCTCGTGCGTGTCATATTTCGTATTGTGTATTTGTTTTGTTTTGATTTTTTTTCTATTTCTCGTATGCAACATTATTTAACAAATATTTGCAAATGCATCTGAAAAATGTTTTGTGTGATCTGAAGCCGTCAAGTATTCAAAATAGTTGCCTGCTTGCGCTTTCAAATTAATCACAGCAACAAACAAAAGAAATAGCAACAAATAAGTGCAGCAATCGGTTTCTTTTATTTACAAACAATTGACGCAGCTCAATTTTAATTATAAGGTTAGTCCCAAATATATATACACGTCTATCGATGTGTTACGAGTTCAATGTACTGCAAATAGATAAAAACAATACAGCAACAAATATTTTTATAATAATATGTTATTTAATGAAAAAATCAAATATTTAAATATAAATTGAATTTGAATATATACACAAATACATTTAAATTATTAATATTGTCATAAACGAACAAAATTAGAATTGTAAAATAATAAGAAAAAAAAGTTATATTATCATTATTCCATTGTTGATATTATGATAGTAACGAATATCACAAGCAACTACTTATAAACGTTATAAACTATAATCTTGAATATAAATATTTTCTCACACCAACAATTTTTAATTTGTAAATTTTGTCACATTCCGTTTTATTGGATGTATATACATCATAAACATGAGAAATGCTTAAGCCAGTCTTGCACCTAATGCTTTTTAATGCTTTGCTGATAATATTAGTTGAATATCAACATGATTGCTGTGCAATTTTTTATGAAAGTCCAAACAACGAAATCGTCTAGCTACTGTTCATGGTCTATTAATTGTCGGCCAGCTGATTTTCTTTTTAATATAAATTATATTTGGCGTTGGGGGTATTATTTTTTATGTGCATTTAATGCTATAATACGAGTCAAAGATAAATACTGGTATGCGCATAGTGAGAGAGTGAAGCAAGCAAAGCGCAACAGGCAATGCCCCACAGCACCTGACCAAAGACTGGACATCCAGCTAGCTTCCTGTCGCCTCTAATTGAAATCGAAATTGAAACGAAAACAATTCGCGTGCCTTTTAATGCGATTTGTTTCACACATTTGGACCCAATGCATGTGGTGCAGTTTTGCCAAGTTTACCACAGTGGCATTGTGAAATTGTTGTGTCTGCTTTTATTTTTTTCATTTTTATTTTTTACTGCATACAGAACAAAAGACTTAGGCAGCGAACTTGAAGTAGTATGCAGCTAAACATGAGTTGGAGCAATGCGCTTGCGGTTTTGTTTTTGGCAAACACATTGCGTGGCTTTCTCTACTCTTGACAAGCCCCATGCCGATTCTAAGTGCCATTGCTAATAAGCCAACAGTATCAGCATCACCAACAACAACAACAATGTGTTGTGGCAGGGCTTGTGTGTGTCTTTTTTCTTTTTTGTGTGTTGGGAGCTGGAGACGAAATCGCATGCTTGCTCACTTGGAAAACAGCAGTAGTTGCTGGCTCCGAAAACTAACTGAAATGGTATTAATTGCCACTCGCTCACACACGCACTGGCATACACACACATACACACACACACACACACACACACAAGTGCAACTAGTTGACTTTCATTGTCTTTGGCATTTGCGGTTTGCCGTTTGTTTAGCTAGTTGGCTTATTATGCCGTATGCTTTATGTCTAATGCTTGGATGCCTTTGTCTTTGACTGTGACTTCGACTCGAGGTTTACATACGCGTCAAGTTAATCACACTTTTAACTCCATTTCACATAATACTAATTTCATAATTTGAACCGCCACACCAACCAACGCATTGCCAATGGTGCCCCCAGAGACAGGCACATTGAGTTGTCATTTGCTGCTTGCCGCTCGCATTTTCACTTTTTCCACGACGACACTGATTACAATAAATCTCCTTTGCGTCAAGTTTACATTTAATTTAGCATAAGTGGAACTACGTATATATATATGTATATATGATTTTATTTTTTAAGGTTTTGCTTTATATGCTGCATGGCCATTTCTCAGTCAAGAAGAGCAGCAAGCTATAGGGCTGCTGGGAAACGTTTCAAGTGGGTGGCTGCTACTAGAATTCTGCAAACTTCGTGCCCCTTCCTGGGTGTTCATATGCCTATAAGCACAGTCAAGATAGCGGATCATAATTGCATAGAATTGCATGAAACCGTCGACATAACCATTCGAGACGTAGCTCAGTTCCGATTGTCTATGTGGTTACTCATTCCATGAACCTACTTAAGTTACTTGGGTGCATGCCGTGAGTCTCTTATCATGTTTGTAGTTTATATTTTATATAAGTTATATTTTAATAATTCAGCTGACCCAAGGCGTCGTTAGGAATTCATTTTGTCGATCTGAGGTTGACAACTTCTTTAGA